ACAGTTGGAGAAGGTCGCCCCGTTCAGCCTGGGAATGGAATGCCCTCTTGTTGCTTTGTCTTTGTTAGACTGGGACTCTGAGTCTGGCCAGGCCTTGGGTTCAGGCTGCCAATGCTGCCAGCATCATAACTGACTTTGGTTCTGCTGACTTGGAAAGTCAAGGATCCCAGAGTCAGACAGGGATCCTATTCAGATGGAACCTGTTTCTTAATCTTTTAATTTTTTTTTTGCAGGGGAGAGGGAGTTATGAAACCTTTTGAAATAAAAGGAGATTCATGTGAACCCAGAAGTCAATGTCAATGGATACCTAATAAGATTTTAAAACTATTTTGCAAAACAAATATTTTATTTTCTCCTTATCAAATACTTTCTTCTGGGAATTATTTGACTTGAGTAAGGTATGGCTTCAAGTGGCTTATCTAATAAACTGAGAGATGACAGATTGTTGATACTCATTATGACCCAAATACATGGTTTATTCAGCAGTAGCTTGTTCAGGGCTGTTCTTTTCATTCTACTATTGGCAGTGGGACATTTGGGAAGAGCTTGCATTATCACCAAAGGTAAACTCAAGTTAATGGAAAGAAGTTTATTCTGGAAGTTTGTATAATGGCAGTACTTATTGCAAAGAAAACTGAACAATATAATTTTATTCCCATTGACAGCTATCAAATTTCATATCTGAAGCCCAGTGTCTAAAAGGTTAACTATGTAGGGGTTATAACAGATTTAAAGGCAATGATATGTGTTGAATTATGGGAGACCCAGAGCTTCTCCCCATCTGTTTCTGGAGTCAAGACAATGCCTTGACCACCACAATCAGAAGTTTCTGCCTTGACAATGCCTGCAGCTACAACAGTGTGTACAGTGTCCCAAGCACTTTCCTGGCAAAACCAGTTTGGAAACTTTTATCTTACTCATAAGGCAGGTGTCTCTTTTGTAATACTGCACCCTGTGAAGATTCTTGCAAAGCCAGGAAGGACTGCACCCTGTGGAATTTATAGATCAGAGGTCGAATAACAAAAAAAAATCAACTTGATATTTTATCAAGCTGTTGTTAAGGCAAATTAGTGATCCACGCACCAAACACCTGCTATTTCCTCTGGTAAATATTATTTTATCTACTTTATAACCAGGTGAACCAAGCTTTGGAGAATTTAAATAACCTCCCTGATATCACCTAACCAGGGATGAGAAAACAAACTGCCATGTGTTTCCACATCCTAACACCACAATGACACCAACATACTCTTCTTTTTTTTTTCTTTTTTCTTTATTGATTTTAGAGACAGCAGAAGGGAGAGGGAGAGAGATAGAAACATCGATGAAAGAGAACATCAACTGGCCCACTCCTGCACAACCCCCACTGGGGATAGGACCCACAACTTGGGCATGTGCCCTGACCGGGAATCGAACTGGCGACCTTTTGGTGCATGGGTCGATGCTCAACCACTGAGCCACACTGGTGGGGCCCAACATACTCCTCTAAACTAAATGCATGTAACTGTTGTGTAGCTAATTCATATACTATGGGAATCAACATCAGTGTGAATAATACAGAGTGTGAATAAAAGAACCATTTTCCTAAACTGTGGAATGTGTTTCTACACTTATATTTGGTTATGAATGTTGCTAACAGTCTGATAATTCCTGTTCCCCAAACCCAGGATAGATAATGAGCATCCAGATTCGGGAACAAACCTTATACCCCTCCCCCCTTTCAATAAATTTGGATTTTGAATTTCCAGGCCACAAAATGAGATGATTGCACTAATAAGGATAAAAAAATAAATTTGAAATCAGGATTTTTTGAAGTGCCAGGTTGCTGTTTTTATAAAATATAACTTAGGGGGTAATCAGTGAAGGTGGTAATGAAAAGGTTGTAGGAAAGTTAAAGGCAAGATTATATGGGGTAAGTCTGTGCTGTTCATGCATTCTCAAGTTTGGCAGGTGATACTTCAGTGACAACTCTCTTTGCTAGTCCTATATCACCGAGGACAAATACCTGGAACTAAAACAGCAGCTGAACAAATTTGCAAGGGTGCTTTCAAACTGAAATGTTATATTCTGAGTTTCTGAAAGAATTGTTCTTTGTGGTCAACTGAAAATTTCAGAAAGGAACAGACATATTAAACACTCTGACAAAGTTTCCTATTTACAGAATTTTAAAATCACTAAAATGCCTGCAGTGTGTGATAAAAAGGAAAATCTAGCAGTTAAAACCATCTTACACAATATGGGGTAATGATTTTCATTAAATAAAAATAAAACAACAAATAATATTAAATCAATAATAAAAGTAGTACATACTTTTAGAAAATATAAAGATTCAATATACCGAACAGCAAAAACAAAGCCCAAACCACCCTAACACAAATAATGATGACTTAAAACATTTTATTTTAATGATAATATTTTGCGTGCACTTTATTGAACTGGTCTCAAGTCAGGAGAGAAGAGGTTGTGGTGGAGTCACCTGTGGGGCTATCAGGACAAGCACAGTGAACAGGTAAAGTTGTTAGGGATAAAGTTCTACTTTTCCACTGACAGAGAGGGCAGGCCCAGGACAGGGACCGAGCCCTTGCAAAAGGACATGAGCTTGCCCAGGCTGGTTTGGCTCAATGGCAGAGCATCCGTCTGCAGACCAATGAGTCGCGGGTTTGATTCTGGTCAACGGCATGTACCTCCATTGCCCCAGCCCTGGTCCTGTCCTGCAGGAGGCAAGCAGTCTATGTGTTCCTCTCACGTGGATGTTTCTCTCTCTCCCTTCTTCTCTGTCCCAAGATAAACAGAAAAATATCCTCAGGTGAGGATTTAAAAAAAAAAAAATGTACATGAGCTTTTCTTTTCTTTTTAACTTATTTATTTTTCATCCTCACCCAAGGATATGTTTTGTATTGATTTGAGAGAGTGGGAGAGAAACATCAATGTGAGAGAGAAACATCGATCAGCCACCTCCTCATTGAACCCATAACCTTTTGGTGTATACTGATGATGCTCCCACCAACTGAGCCACCCAACTGGGGCTACATGTGCTTCTCTCTCTCTCTCTCTCTCTCTCTCTCTCTCTCTTCTTGTTAATCCTTACCAGAGGATATTTTTTTTTCCATTGAATTTTTTAGAGAGTGGGAGGGAGAAACATCATGTAAGAGAGACACATCCTGCGGGATCAAACCTGCAACCAGGTATGCTCTTAACCAGAAATCGAACCCACCACCCTTCGGTGCACAGGCCGAAGCTCTAAATACTGAGCGACACTAGCCAGGGCTGCACATATTTTTCAAAGGTAAATGCTACTCAGTTTTCAGAGTTTCTCCCATGTCTGTCGCTTTTAAAGTTAAGTAGCCTAAAATAACCAGTACCCCAAAGGGGCCTATTTTGAGGGAAAGTTGGCTCCCCTCAAAGTCCGTGTCTCCCTTCCGTAAGGGGGGAAGGTCCTGCCCGCCATAGGCCCTGCTAGTTCAGCCAGTGGTGTTGGCGGGGATCTGCGTGCTGAGCGTGAAAATAGTGCGGGGAAAGACGCGAAAAGAGCCGGAAAGGAAGAACGACCGCGTGCTGGTGAACACGACCCGGACCCCCGAGCGGGCACAGCCCTTGGCATCAGGTCCTCCGAAGGGCTGATGCTAACGCAACGCCTTCCGCGTCAAAAGCATGTGTCCGGTGACAGCAATTCAGAGGAAATGGGTCCCCCCCCCCCCCCGAGTGCCCCCCACTCCGAAGCCCTGGGGCGGCTCACTCCCGCAGGTTCAAGCACCAGGTGCAAGTTCGAGGACAAGTCAGCCAAACTTGGGAACTTTAGTAGAAACTATTTCCAGAGAGACACTTCCGCATCTGTATTTGAAGTGCGAAAACCACTGAGGTTTGGGAGGGAAGAGAGTCACGGTGTGAGGACGTGCGGGGTCAGCGCGCTTCCCGGTCCCCGCTCCCGCACTCGCCCGTGCTCCTTCCCGACCGCCGTCGCCGAAGGGTCCCCCGCGACCCCTCCCCCCGACCCCTACCACCCCGGGGACCCGCCCCCCGGTCCCCACCACCCCGCGCACCCGCCCCCCGGTCCCCACCACCCCGCGGACCCGCCCCCCGACCCCTACCACCCCGGGGACCCGCCCCCCGGTCCCCACCACCCCGCGCACCCGCCCCCCGGTCCCCACCACCCCGCGGACCCGCCCCCCGACCCCTACCACCCCGGGGACCCGCCCCCCGGTCCCCACCACCCCGCGCACCCGCCCCCCGGTCCCCACCACCCCGCCCCCCGGTCCCCACCACCCCGCGGACCCGCCCCCCGGTCCCCACCACCCCGCCCCCCCGGTCCCCACCACCCCGCGGACCCGCCCCCCGGTCCGCACCACCCCGCGGACCCGCCCCCCGGTCCCCACCACCCCGCCCCCCCGGTCCCCACCACCCCGCGGACCCGCCCCCCGGTCCCCACCACCCCGCGGACCCGCCCCCCGGTCCCCACCACCCCGCCCCCCGGTCCCCACCACCCCGCGGACCCGCCCCCCGGTCCGCACCACCCCGCGCACCCGCCCCCCGGCTCCCTCACGCGGCCTCCCTATCCCCTCCCCACGGCCCCGCCCTGCCCGTCTCCCGATCCCACAGCCTTCGGTGTCTCCTCCCCGGGGCGGGCACCTGGGTCTTAGCGGTGACGCGGGCGGTTCTCACAGCGGAGGGCATCCGCCGGCCGGTCCTCGGAGGCGGCGCTGAGGGAGGCGACGCTGAGGGAGGCGGCGGCGGGGCGGGGCCTCCCTCGGCTCCGACCCTCAGCTGGTCGGCGGCTCCGCCCCTCGACCCGGCCGCGCCAATCGCGGGCCCCGCACCTGCGAGGAGGCGCCGCCCCGCCCACCGCGGCGTTCGGAGCGTCCCCACGGCGTCGGGTCCGCGCGGCGGGAGCGGAAGCTGCGTCGGGACCCCCGGCGCCCAGCTCGGCCAGCCGCTCAGCCTTGGCTTCCGGGTGCCGCGACCCCCGACCCTCGACCCTCGACCCTGCCGGGCGGCCCCGCCCGGGAGGCGGCGGCGGGGGCCGCGCTCCATGCCAGTGTGGTGCTGCCGCTGCTCCTTGGCCGGGCATTTCAGGTGACTCCCCGCGGAGAGGGGGTGAGGTGCGGGGGATGGAGGGCCGGACGCAGGCAGCAGGGCGCGGACCCGGCGGGCGAACGGGCTGGGGTCGCGTGGACCGGCGAGGCGGGGCGGGCGCCGGGATGCCGCGGCCTCCCCTGGGCCCCGCAGCCCCGGCCGCGCCAGTCACGCGCTGGAGCCCCGCAGGCCCGAGCCAGGCGGCTGCCCAGCTGCAAAGTTTCAGGGAAGGGTCACGAGACGCCCCGCCCCTACGATTTTTAAAATTTTTGTTAAAAAACCTAATAAGCTAAGTTACTGGGTGAAGGGCGGTAGGAAACTAAGTTTTCAGGGTGATGATCTGGTTCCAGGAGGTTCTCACTGAGACGTTCGTCACCTGACGCCGTAGATACAGTGCAGACTTGGAAAATGAGCGAGTCTGGGCTCCGAGGACGGTTCTCAGGGGGACAGGGCGGTGCCTAAAAAACGGGAGCGGCGGGGGGTGTGAGTTCTGGGTTTCATTCAAGACCCAGGAGGACCTGGCCTTCCATGTACCAATTCACTAGAAAAATTATGTGAAAACTACTCTTTTTTGTCAAATGCGAAACTGCCATCAGAGTTCTTAAATTGGGTTCATAGGATGAATTGAAGTGGCCCGTGAACTTGGATGTAAAGAAAGGTACAGCAGTGTTTTTGCTACATTTTAATAACCGAATTCTAATATTCAATTATGAATAGAAGTAACAAATCACAGTAATTTTTGCGACTGTCACCACCAGAAATCACAGGTATTTTCATATCACATTACAGTTGTTGCACATATTTAAAAATATTGCTTATGCTTATAAAATTACAGTACTTAGTACATGTGTTTGCAAGAAGCATAAAACCCGCTAAGCTCTGTTAGGCTTCACTGTTGTAGCAATTTTTATACATTGAAGCAAGGCCTTCCACCACCAACTCTAGTTAATCATAGGAGCATCAGAAAGAATGAGATATTTAGGAATAATTTTAACAAAAAGAAATGTAAGACTTGTATACTTGAAACTACAAAACATCACTGAGAATAAAAGAAGGACTAGTAAATGAAAAGGAATCCCAAGTGTAGGGATTGAAAGGCTTAATATACAGGGTGGGACAAAAGTAGATATACAGTTGTAAATATGGGAAACAGTTTATTCTTAAAGTATTATTTATTAATTATTGTATTATTTTTCATAGGAACAACTGTAAACTCAATTTTGTCCCACCCTGTACTTAGATGGTAGTATTTCTCAATTGATCTACAAAATCATTGCAATCCTATAAAAATCCTAGCTGCCCCCTCCCCCCCAGAAGAATAATGGAATTGCACAGAGTAGCTAAGACAGTGTTAGCCAGGAAGTCTTGATAAACAAAAAGTTGGAGGATTTCCACTTCCAGATTTCAGAATTTACTACAAAGAAACAACACTGTGGTGCTGGCATAAAGATAAACATATAATCAATGGAATAGATTGGAGAGTCTAGAAATAAATTCTTACACTTATGGTCACTTGGTTTTCCATGGGATCCTGAGACAAAAGAGGAAATAACAGTCTCTTCAACAAATGGTGCCAGGACGAATATCCACAAGCAAAATAATGAAGTTGGACTCCTACCTCATACCGTATACGAAAACTAACTCAAAATGCATGAGAAACCTAAATGTAAGAACCAGAACTATAAAACTTGTAGAAAAAAGCATTGGAGTAAATTTTTGTGACCTTGGATTAGGTATTGGTTTCTTAGATATGACACCAAAAGCACAGCAACAGAAGAATAAGTAAGTTGGACTTGATCAAAGTTTAAAACTTCTATGATTAAAAAGAACATGAAGAAACTGAATAGGCAACCCACAGTGTGAAACAAAATATTTGCAAGTCATGTATGTGAAAAGGGACTTGTATCATATATATAAAGGATTATTAAAGCTCAACAATAAAAAGACAACCCATTTTGAAAGTGGGCAAAAAATTTGACTTTCTCCAAAGAAAATACATAAATGGCCAATGAGCACATGAAAAGATGTTTTAACATTAGCCCATTTATTACATGAGCATGTCAGAAGCTAAAACTAGATTCTAGGAAGGCATTTGGGAAAGGAGGTAGATTGGAAACCAACATTAAGATCTTTATATCAGTATCTATGAGAATTAATAAAATATATAAATTTTTTACCCAAATGCACAAACTATAATATTTAAGTACAGTAACGTTTCCTTAAAATATTAGGTGTGACTATTTTGTTTTAAATATATTGTCTCCAATGTCTTGGTCATTAAAGATAGCTTCGTATTTGGAATTTATCTTATGTAGGACTTGCCCATAAAGTATTAAAAAGACATTGACAGCTATTAAGGATGTCCGACATTCAAAGTGATGTAGGTTGACATGTAGATAAGCTACTAATTTGAAAGTATTAATCAGAGGATTTTTCTCCTTTTAGGAAGTAATGAATATTTTTGTTGGTTTTTTTTGCTTTTTTTGGCTTAAATAAAATCTGAATAAGGATAGATTTTTATAAAGGCTATGTTGACTATATATCTCTTGTTCTTGTTCCATGTTTGTATTTTTTAAAAAGAAACTATGGTGACACTGAAACAGAAGGAGAGATTTATAATTCCTTAGTGCAATATTTTGGTGATAATTTGGGGCGAAAAGTTAAAGCCATGCCATTAGTTGAAGAAACTTCTTTACTTGAAGATTCATCAGTGACTTTGCCTGTGGTAATAATAGGTAAGTTATTGCATTTTACCACTTAAAAGTACAGTGATGATTGTTACTTTTATACATTTATAATTACATAGTTACAAGTTCTTAGAATTGTGTTGAAAAGTATTATTAGGTTTGATGTCTTAAAACAACCATTAACCACAAATCTTTGGAGAGAGTATATTTATCTGATTTAGGTTTTGTGTTAGAATGCAGCGTCCATTCATGAAATATTGATATTACTCTATTATTTTAAAATACTGTCAGTTGTGTTGATTATATGGCAGTGTCCTGGTAATGATGATAACCTGTATTTTATTTCAAAGTAGTGGGAAGGAAAGTCCTCTCCTGTGACCGGCATATGGGTGATTCTGTAAAGGAGGGAAGGATGGAAAGGAAGAGAGCATGATTGTTCTATACTGATTACCCTCCAAGGGAGAGGACAAAGAGGAGTTTTTGCACTGGTTCTCATCCAGGATATTTTGGAGACCATACCTCCTGTACCATTTTCCAACTTTTGTCTACCCTAGTTGTCCTTCTTTGGTGTCTTGGAGTAAAGGAACCCTGGCTGCTTGTTCTACCTTGGCATGGGAGAGTCAGAAAAAACCACCATCCTCTGTACCTGACCACCTCACTCCACCCCCAAACAGTCTATTCCTGTTTGGCCTCAGCTAGCCATAGACATAAATACAGGACACAAAATTATAAACCTTCTAGAAGATAACATGGATGACCTTTGGTTTTAGTAATGAGTTTTTAAAAACTAGAACATAGTCTTACCAGATGATCCAGCCAGTCATGTATATGCCTCAGTATTTGCCCAAATTAGTTGAAAATTTAATGGCCATGCAAAAATCTGCATGCTTACAGCAGCTTTACTCATAATTGTCAAAAATTGGAAGCAACCAGGATGTCGTCTAGTTAGTGGATGGGTAAATTGTGAAACATCCATATAATAGAAAATCAATACATACATTAAGGAAATTAGCTCTTTATGCTCAGGCAAAAGTCAGAATCTTGTGAACGCTTGGTTTTCAGAGTTTAGAGAAGGCAGAATTGGTAGGGAGAAAGCCATTTTCTTAAGGAGAAAAGCCGAGGAATAGGGGTATTGTGCGTGACACACCCTGTCCACCTTTTTCTTATTTTTTAATAGGAAATGGACCCTCAGGGATCTGCCTTTCTTATATGTTATCAGGCTACAGACCATATTTATCATCAGAAGCAGTACATCCAAATACAATCCTACATAGTAAATTACAAGAAGCAAGACATCTTTCCATTGTTGATCAGGTAGTTTTTCTTACATGGCAATCCTTTTCATTTTTTTATACTGAAACAAGATTAATTTGAGTTATATAAGCATTGTGTTTCTTAATTGAAAATCCATTCTTCTAATAACACTTTCTATCATTTTTATTTTAGATTTGTAAGTACATTTTGTTGCATTGTTTATTTTCCTGAGTTGATAAGAGTAGAATTTCCCAAATGATATCCTGATAAAGGTTTAATAGGTGTTCTATGTTCAAATAAGTTTGGAAAGGGCTGCCTTTTGTTATTGCATTGTCACTGTAGACATATTAAGGTGTATTTGCATGTTAAAGGCATCTTCAAGTTTTGTGTAAAAGGATCTGATTTGATTTGTTGAAATCCAACCCTTCCTATATTTATTTGACTAAAGGATTTGTTAAGATCTCAAGGAACATCAGCATTGTATAGCACACTATCTGGGAAATACTGGATTAGAGTAATGGCTTTTACTTTTGTTAGGATAGCATTAGTTTGTTTTTCTTTGTTCAAAGTCTATCTGCCTTTTTCCTTTCTTTTAAAAAAAAATTCATTCAGGACTTAGAATACTTGTCTGAGGGCCTTGAAGGCCGATCATCAAATCCAGTTGCAGTACTTTTCGACACACTTCTTCATCCAGATGCTGACTTTGGGTATGACTATCCATCTGTTTTGCATTGGAAATTAGAACAACATCATTATATCCCTCACTTAGTCCTTGGTAAAGGTCCACCTGGTGGAGCTTGGCATGTGAGTATACTTTTCTTAGCATTTCAATGTACGTGAGTTATTACATATATCTTAATAAGATCATTTTGATTCTTAAACATTACGATATAATGGTATAGAATCAGTGGTTCTCAACCTTCCTAATGCCGCGACCGTTTAATACAGTTCCTCGTGTTGTGGTGACCCCAACTATAAAATTATTTTTGTTGCTACTTCATAAGTGTAATTTTGCTACTGTTATGTCTTAGGCAACCCCGATGAAAGAGTCATTCGACCCCCAAAGTGGTCGCGACCCACAGGTTGAGAACCGCTGGTATAGATGTTTACTAAATTTTTACCTGGAATTTTAATCCTGTTTCATTAGATGTGGTTAATTACTGGGAGTTAAGCCATATTTGATTATAGTCTTAGAATAAGCATTTTTTCTATACTATTTTATAAGAATTATTTGGAGGATATTTTAATATTTTGCATAGTACAGTTTTTTAATTTATTAATTTTATAATTTACAAAATTTCACACAGTATTTTATACAAATATCCATTATTTCTCTACATTTTCAAGATCTTAAATGAAAAATGTTTTGTAAAGGAATAAAGTTGTATTAGTCTGCTTGGGCTGCTATCACAGATTACCATAGACCCGGTGGCTTAAACCTCAGACACTTATTTCTCCCTGTTTGGAAACTGCGGTTTCCAGGATCAAGCTTCAGTGTGTTCAGTTCGTGGTGAGGGCTCTTTTTCTAGCTTGCAAATAGCCGCTTTGTGTTGTCACATGGCAGAGCGCATGCTCTCTCTCTTCCTCTTATGAAGTCACTAATTCTGTCATGAGGGCCCCATGTTAGGCCTAATGACCTCCAAAAGGCCTCACCTACAAATACCATTACATGGAGGCAGGACTAGAGCTTCCCAAGGAATTTGGAGGTGACAGTTTAGTCTGTAGCAGAGGTTTAACCAGAAAACTGATAACATTAAGATCCAGTGCATTTCATTAGGGACAGCAACTACCATTATTGTTAATTCTGTATCCTTAGCAGTCAGTATAGTATCTAGTGTGTAGAGAGTGCTCATTTGTTGTACAAATAAGTGTTATGTAAATTTGCTATGTTATGAAATACAGACTTCACGGAAATTTTAACATTATTAAGTCTTTAGTACAGACTTTATTTGGATATTCCTATATTATTGTACTGTTATGTCTAAAAGTTGTTTGCATTTAATTTATTAAGTGACAACCAATTAGAGATGCTCATCCACACATTGGTATTCGGAGGGGGTTTGGGGGGGCGGTGGTCAGTCATATACGCCAGCAGCCACCCATGTGACTGGCTTCTGACTGATCCCTGCTTCCTAGAGCAAACAGCAGTAATCACCATAAATCACATTAGGGTAAATGTGCATGGTCACCCTGGTACAGCATGGCCCATGGCTTCTAGCATGCAAAAAACACTCTCATCAGGTAGAATTTTCCAAGGATCAGAGGATGTCTCCTGGGAGGCAGCCAAGGGCCAGTTCTAAACACAGACCTTTCCTAGTAACGTGCAAGGACTAACACAACCTGAGCCTGTAACTCCTTTTCCGCATGAGGATGAACTTTTTATTAAACAGTCACATAACTTGTTTGTTCTGCCTAGAATAGTCTCCCTTTCTAATAGTGCATCCTCAAAGTCTGCTTGTGTCCTTGAAGAAATAGTCTTTTCTCTATGCTCCTACAGGACTTCTGTCAGGTTTGCACCCCTTAATATGCTGAGTCTCCATGACTACAGGCATCATGGTAAATAGGTTGCATAGGGGAAAAAAAGAAAAACTGATTGGGAGAAAATTACAGAGATCCAAGGGACTAGGCCTTGCAACCAAAAGGAAGAATTGTTGCAGTGGAAATAGAGATTGTTGACAGAAAGTAGAATACTGGTGCTTCAAGGGTTTTGAGTTCCAGATAAGATGATTTTGTGGCTCCAAATAACTTCTCATATATAATAACTTCTTAACAGCTCCCCTTCTGATCATCTGTTTTTCATCATGGTTCTTCTTATGCCCAGGCCCAGCCTGCCTCTGAGCAGTGGCAGCTGATTGCATTCTGTCCTTGGTGATAATGTCACAAATAATAGGCTTCATGAGGCCTAGAACATAGCAAGTGTTCTGTGAATGTTAGCCAATAATAGTAAGTCCCATTTCCAACACTGGGCATTATAGGCACAGGGCAAGAGCATTAAGAGAAAAAAGTCATAGCCTGCTGGTTAAGAGGTCATTTGAGGTCACTGGAGAGGTGCTGTTGGCCCTTGGGCTTTTCCTGCTTTGTACTGAACACAGCAGAAGGAGAACATGGGAGCTTGAAGAGCTCACTTCCTTAAAGGCAGCCTTAGCAATAGTATTGAGTCTGTTCTTAATTAGGCAACCACTGCTGCTTTTCCTTGTTCTAGAAAGAGATGCTGCTATATCCGAATCATCTTAGACTTCACCATTATAATTGATCAGGAGAGGCTGTTGTGCTGCCCATTTAAAAAAAAAAAAATCTATTAATCATATTAAAATGAAAAGACATCTGAAGTGTGAAATTAATAAACTCTTTTATTTAAAAAGTGAAAATATTCATTTGTTTCTCTAACATGATATTCTATATATGAATTATCATATCGATTATATAAGCCAAAGCTATCAACATTGTGTAGGCACTGGGTAACATTGTAAATTTGTTTTGTAAATGTATAACTATATGAAAGAAAGAATATAGATAGATACACCAAATGATGAAAGTATTATTTAAAAGTTTATTGGAATAAACTTTGGGAGGTAATCTGTACAACCATTATTTAAGACTTCTCTGCTCTCCTGATCCAGACTCTTATAGCAAATAGATGGGTTTGGTTAAACAAAAATGTTACTGCTTAAATGTGTTTTTGATTGTACATTTTTTATTCAAATAGAATATGGAAGGCTCCATGTTGACAATCAGCTTTGGAAATTGGATGGAGCTACCTGGACTTAAATTTAAAGATTGGGTAACTAGCAAACGAAGGTAAAGATCAAATTACTAAAATTCTTTTGTGTACAGTGAGAAGAGTGTGTCAGCATATTTCAAAATATCTGTGATCCTTGAATGAATAATGTAAATGTCTCTGTCTCTCAGGTATAAGAAGCCTCTTTGTAGCAATGACTGTGAGCTAGTGTACACTTAGAGCTGCCACAGACTAAGCCAGAGGTGAGGAAGGGCTTGTTTGTAGAGTGGGTTCCTGACTTCCCTGGTCGTCATGGATTTATCCCATTCTGTTAAACCACTCTACTTTCTCATCCAACCACATATCCTTTACACATTTATTTACTAATTTTTATGAGTGGATATGTAACTTCATGTGTGCGTATTTCATGTATACAGACCTGAAGTGTTTGACTTTCAAAGTAGAAGGCTGTGTATGATTAATAATTTAGTGATAGAATGAACTAGAATCAGTGGTGTGATTGGCTACTTAGGTATAGAGGTAAATATTTAGTAAGAAAATCCAAATAACTGAGAAGAAATCTCAACTTGGAACTTTATAATAATTTTGAGAGAAAGAACCCAAAATTTGAAAAGCCCTATTGTTTTCAAGGATAGTAAATATTAGATAGAAATTACTAATACGCTATCTAATTTGACTGCTCACAAAAACAATAAATGAAAGCAGGAAGTTACTTAATCTTTATTAGAACAGGGCTGTAACATTTGAATGTTTGACTTCCTGCTAGATAGAACCCATGTTAATCCCCAGAAATTATCCTTCATTTGACAAGAGTTAAGGAGAGCAAATTTAGACCAGCATGTAAAATTGAGAATAAACCTTCAAATATTCTTCTTGAATTTTTTAAAAAAGGATTGTATACGGATTTGAAATGTAAAGTTGCAAAGTCAGGCAAGTTGTACAAGTTCCTGATTTACATAGGTCAGCGAATGAAACTGCTCATTCTTCTCTTTGTGATGAAGAAAGAGCTTCCTGACTTATGTACCAGAGTGTTTGTCCTTCTGAAGTGAGGATACTGAGTATAGAATTACTGTGTGAAAATGAATCTTGTGATAAACATCACCTTCAGTTCCTGCCTTTGCATCTTGTTAGGAGATGGAAGACTCTTAGCTCTCTAGAGATTAACTCTAGAACTCCTAATGTAACCCTGGTCACATTAACTTAAATTAGCTATCAATTTCTTAATCTGTAAAGTGGAGATATAATACGAGTAGTAACTACTACAAAGGGTTTCTGTAAAAATCAAAGTTAGTCATTTTAAGTCTTAATTACTATAGTCATTAAATTCAAGAAGAAAAGTGTGAACTTTTCCCAAATTCAAGTTATAATGAATTATGTGAAGTGATTTGGTTTTTTTCCTACTACTTATCTCTATATGGGGCACAATGTTTAGGGGTGCTTATGCCCATTGCTTTAAATTGCAAGTGGAGAATGAAAGATGTACTAATGCACTTATTCATAAGGATATTTTATTTATATATCTCTGAGCAGGAAAACACAGAAATGCCATATATTATTTACTTAGACGTAAACTAATTTGTTTGCAGAAGACTGACCCAGCTTGTTTTTGGTCATGGGGGGTGTGTGTGTGTGTGTACACACACACATATATATACATATAGATAGATACACATACACACACATTTTTTTTTAAGCCTCACCCTAGGATATTTTTCCATTGATTTTCAGATAGAGTGGGAGGGAGGGAGAGAGGAGGAGAGAAAGAGAGAAAGATGGATGTGAGATCGACACATCGATTGGTTGCCTCCCGCACTGCTCCAAACAAGGCTGGAGATCAAACCACAACCAAGGTACATGCCCTTGACCTGAATTGAACCTGAGACTCTGGTCCAAGGGCCGACACTCTAACCACTGAGCAAAATCGGCTGGGGCTATTTTTAATGAGTATATATGTTACAGTTAGATCTGTGCTATCTTAATGATTATAATCTAAATAATTTAGTCTGTACATAGAGCAGTTATTTTCAACCTTTTTCATCTCATGGCACACGTAAACTAATTACTAAAATTCTGTGGCACACCAAAAAAATACATTTTTTGCTGATCTGATAAAAAAAGATATTTTGAGCCCTGGCCAGTTTGGCTTAGCGGTTAGAGCGTCGGCCTGCGGTCCGGAGAGACCTGGGTTCGGTTCCCGCTAAGGGCACGTACTTCGGTTGCAGTTTGTCCCCGGCCCTGGTTGGTCGTGCGGGTGGCAGCCACTCGATGTGTCCCTTCACATCGATGTTTCTCTCTCTCTCTCCCTTCCTCTCTCTCTCCCTCCCACTCTATCTGTTCAAAAAATGGAAAAATATCCTCGGGTGAGGATAAAAAAAAAAAAAAAAGATATTTTGATTCATTAACACCGATAACTATTGTATTGGCTGTTGTCATTTTTTTTATTTGACAATCTAAGGGAAGAGGTCAGTGCCCCTGACTAAGTAGTCAGGTATTACATATTTTAAAAATTCTTACTGCATACTGGCTGAAAATCACTGACTTGTAGTACAGAACATAGACTGAAAAGTATAATTATAGACTGAATTTTTTAATTACAGTTGTGACATAGACTGTAAACTAGTCTAATTTTCATATATTCACATTTTAATCCCTTCATTTATTTAATAAAAGCCTATTGGTAAAAGCAGCTAATCTGAAAAGATACTACCTATGTAAGACAATGGAGAAACAGACATACATTAAATATAGTCTCTACCCTCATAGAGCTTCCTCTTTTTAAAAAAAAAAATTTTCTTTATTGATTTTAGAGAGGAAGGGAGAGAGATGGAAACATCAGTGAGAGAGACCATCAATTGGCTGCCTCCTGCATGGCCCCATAGGGGATTTGGCCCACAACCTGGGCATGTGCCCTGGCCAGGAATCAAACCTGTGACCTCTTGGTGCATGGTCGACGCTGAACCACTGAGCCACACCAGAGGGGCAGAGCTTCCTCTTTTTTTTTTTTTTATCCTCACCCGAGGACACTTTTTCATTCTTTGTTCAGATAGAGCAGGAGGGAGAGAGAGAGAGAGAAACATCGATGTGAAAGGGACACATCGAGTGGCTGCCACCCGCACGACCAACCAGGGCCGGGGACAAACTGCAACCGAGGTACATGCCCTTAGCGGGAACCGAACCCCGGTCTCTCCGGACCGCAGGCCGACGCTCTAACCGCTGAGCCAAACCGGCCAGGGCTAGCTTCCTCTTTTTAACTAAAGAGTTTTCTTTCTTTATAAGGTGTTAGGATAATTTATAGCTAAGACAATTCAGAGGAATTGAAAAGATGTAATAGCTTACTAGATGGAGAAATAATCATGAAACTAGTGGTACTGTTCTCATAGGATATTTTTACTTTTACAGGAACCTAAAAGGGGATCGAGTTATGCCAGAGGAAGTAGCTCGATACTATAAACATTATGTAAAAGTAATGGGTCTTCAGAAGAACTTCAGAGAGAACACTTATATTACCTCTGTTTCAAGACTCTACAGAGATCAGGATGATGGTGGTGGTCAGGACAGAGCTATTTCAGCACAGCATTTACAGATTGAGAAGTCACAGTTTATCAAGAGAAACTGGGAGATCCGGGGTTATCAGAGAATAGCTGATGGTTCCCATGTTCCCTTCTCTCTCTTTGCTGAGAATGTAGTTTTGGCAACTGGAACGCTGGATTCTCCTGCCCATCTGGAGGTCGAAGGGGAAGATTTTCCTTTTGTGTTTCATTCAATGCCTGAATTTGGAGCGGCTGTAAGCCAAGGAAAGTTGCGTGGCAAAGTGGACCCAGTGTTAATTGTAGGTTCTGGGCTCACTGCAGCTGATGCAGTACTGTGTGCTTACAACAACAACATCCCTGTGATTCATGTATTTCGCAGACGAGTAACTGATCCAAGTTTAATTTTCAAGCAGCTTCCTAAAAAGCTGTATCCAGAATACCATAAAGTCTATCATATGATGTGTACTCAGTCGTATTCTGCAGACTCAACCCTTTTATCTGATTATACCAGTTTTCCTGAGCACCATGTGCTTTCCTTTAAGCCGGACATGAAATGCATCCTTCAGAGCGTCTCTGGATTGAAGAAAATATTTAAACTTTCTGCAGCAGCAGTATTGATCGGTTCTCATCCCAACCTGTCTTTTCTGAAGGAGCAAGGCTGTTACTTGGGCCATAACTCAAGTCACCCAATCAAGTGTAAGAGTAATCCTGTGGAAATAGATGCATTTACCTATGAGTGTGTTAAGGAAGCCCACCTTTTTGCATTGGGTCCTTTAGTTGGAGATAATTTTGTTCGATTTTTAAAGGGAGGGGCACTGGGTGTTACACACTGTTTAGCAACAAGACAGAAGAAAAAGCAGCATTTATTTGTTGAAAGAGGAGGAGGAGATGGGATAGCTTAAAGTAGGTTTACAAGAATTTATATGGACAGTTTATCATTAAAGATTTTTAACTTTTTGCAGTGTACTGGATTGAATTTTCTGGACTTGAATTAACTGGAGGAGAGTCTCAAGCAATATTAATAGATTTTTAAAGTTACAAGAGCGTGGCATTCTGATTTATACTGTAATGCAACAATTTTCAACTTTTTTCATTTCATGGCACACACTACTTACTAAAACTGCAGCGCACCAAAAAAAAAAAAAAAAACATTTTCTGCTGATCTACAAAAATAAAACGGTAATTTTAATTTACAAAAACAAATAGTAATTGTAATTACTTACCCTTTTTCCTTCAATGACATTGATCTGAGAGAGATACATTGATCAGTTGCCTCCCGCATGCACTCTGTAGGGGATTGAACCTGCAGCCTGTGCATGTGCCCTAACTAGGGATCCAACCTGCGACCTGGGGCACCAGACAATGTTCCAAACAATTGAGCCACACTAGCCAGGGCTCCAAAGTGACTTTTTAAAAAATCAGGTGCCTATACTTGTAAGGATTTCTGGTACCAAGAATTAATCAGACGCAACCTTATGCAACATGACCAATAAGATGCAACTCTATTATATGACCTATATATCTATGGTTCAAAACAGGACATTGACACCAGAGGGCTATTGTGTTGGCTGTTGTCATCTTTTTCATTTGACAGTCTAAGGGAAAAGAGGTTGGTGCCCCTGACTAGTAAGCTCTTCCATGTTTTAAAATCTTAGAGGCACAGAGCTTGGAAATCGCTGCTGTAACGCACCACAGGTGTCACTGTCAGACACTGCCCATCTTGTCTACTTCAAACTCTCAAGTAAAATATTTTCTCTTTTGTGGTCATTTTTGGTTGGTATGTTTGATTCTAAAACATTACAGTCTGAATCTAAAACCGAACAGTCATTAGGCCAGAAATGGTCCTCATTACCTATTGGGGCATCTTGCTACTCAAAGGGTGGTCTAAAACCCAGCCTTGTTAGAAGTGTGTATACTCACCCCACCACAGACTGACTACACCAGAGACATCTCAACAAGCTCCTCAAGGAATATTCAAGGTTGAGACACATAATCTAAAAGAAAATGGGATAGGAAGTGGGGTGGGGATAGGAGGCATTTATAACTCAGGTTTTATTTATTTTGAAATTAACAATTGTATAAATATAATTGATTACTAAATGTGCTGATCTTTTAAAAAATATTTTCATTATTGAAATCTTGACAAATACTTCACATTCTTAGCTTCTAATACACAGTCCAATAATGATGGTATACAGTTAGACATACAGGAACTTGCCAAGATATTTTCTTCTGGACATTTGTTCTCTACGTAATAATTTGCGATTCAATGAATTTTTAATGAACCTACTTATCCCTGTGTGAACACTGGCTTAACTTGTTTAAGTACTTTTAATATTATAATACTATTTCGGTATTGCCAGAATTATTAAAGATTAAAGTTGAAATTTTGGTTAAAACTTGTCTTCCATTCCCAAGACTACTTTGAAATTTGTTCACAGATGACACAGCAGCTCTTTCTATGGTTATTTTTGAATTGTATGCTCTACTTTCATTTATATTTATTTAGATGTGCTTAATGTCTTATTTCCATACAGATCCCCAGAATTTCAGTGTTAGACAAAAAGTCCTCTGAAGTCCTCCATGGCAAACAATTTCTCAGTTTTTCTCTTTTGATATAATTTATTTCATCTAGAATGAACTTATTGTATGTCTAATCTATTTTTTTCTTAGTATTAAAAAAATGGACTAAAGTGTATTTTTCTGTCCAATCTTTTGCAAGGTTATGTGCTCACAGGATCATAATTCACCTTAAAATCTTATTGTTCAGAACATACTTGCCTTTATAACTAGCTGGTTCAGATAAACATGAATTCTTGTATTTCTGATAACTGTCATGGTCTGCTTAACATTTTAGAAATGATGAGATCGTTATAGTTTATTATAATAGTAACTTTTTTCAAATTAATGTTACCTCTATTGGAAATGGTGTAATATCCTCTGACAATACTTGAACTCTCTTGCTGGCCTGTTCTTTTGAGCTCTCAATGAGTTAACATTGGATGTTTTTCTTAATGTCACTTCTAAATTGAAATGACAGTTAAAAAGATGGGTTCTAGGCAATAATAAGAACTGTTGACATCCCCTTGTTTCAAAAGTTTGCTGTTAACCATTCAATAGCATTTTTTCATGAGATTATTTACCCCCAAAAAAAGATTTCAAGGGAAAATAAAGTTTCCATGGGGCCCTAAATAAACCTGATGTGAAGAGTTTCATCTTGAGCAATCTCCCATTTCTCAATTCCCTCAGACCTAGCTGTTTTGTGTTACATATTCTCGTGTTCTTTAGTTGATTGATTTCTGTCCCAAAATTCTAACTTCTTACTGTTCAGTGTTAACTAGCTATTCAGGGAGAGGACAAAGCACTAACTATTTGACTAGTAACAACCATGATGTGGGCATCTCTCCATCCCTCAAGTTTGGCTCTTGAAAGAATGTTTAAAAAACAATCTCTTTGGTTTTAAAAGTAGTACACAAAAATAAGATTAAGTCATTTCTAAGTGTTTTAGGCAGTCTGAGTATGTGAACTTTGTTCAACTATGCTGTTTTTTTTAATCCAAGAAGTTTTATGGGATATGTTTCCATGGAATCAAATCTAGTTAAAGATTTGTAAACATCAGACTGAAAGGTATTTAAAAATATTATGCAGTCTTTGCTGGTTGGATGGCTTAGTTAAATGGAGCATTGTCCTATATACCAAAAGGTTTCAGATTTGATTTCCAGTCAGAGCACATACCTAGGTTGCAGGTTCAATCTCTGGTTGGGGTACATACGAGAGACAACCAATTGATGTTTCTCTCACATCGATGGATGTCTCTCAAATCAATAAACATATTCTCAGGTGAGTATAAAAAAATAAAACATAGATTTTAATAGCATTTTGACCTGACATTTATAGAACACTGACACCTATAATATCCACAATATACTTTCTAAATGCACGTATAACATTCATCAACCATATACTTACCCATAAAACAAGTCTCAAAAAATTTCAAAAGGTTGAAAATCTTACTAAACCACAGTGGAATTAATTTAGAAAGCAATAATAAAGAAATAAATAGTGCCCTGGCCAGTTTGGCTCAGCGGTTAGAGCGTCGGCTGCGGTCCGGAGAGACCCCGGTTCGGTTCCCACTAAGGGCATGTACCTCGGTTGCAGTTTGTCCCCGGCCCTGGTTGGTCGTGCGGGTGGCAGCCACTCGATGTGTCCCTTCACGACGATGTTTCTCTCTCTCTCTCCCTCCCACTCTATCTGTACAAAAAATGGAAAAATATCCTCGGGTGAGGATTAAAAAAAAAAAAGAAAGAAATAGTGCCTAGCTGGTGTGGCTCAGTGAACTGAGCATCCTCCCATGGACTGAGAGGTCCCGGTTTAATTCCTTGTCAGGGAACGTGCCCAGGTTGTGGGCTTGATCCCTGGTGGGGGGCATGCAGGAGACAGCCTGTCTGTTTCTCTCTCACATCTATTATTTCTATCTCCCCTCTCTCTAAAAATAAAAACATTTTAAAAAAAGAAACAGCAACTATTTTATCTTTTGATAATTTTTATTTAGAAATTAAGTAGCAAATCCACATATCAATAAAGCACAGGAAGATTAAGACCTATTCTGAACTAAATGCTAGCACAAATATCCAAAGTGCAGCTAATGTACACAGAGGAAATTTACAGTTTAAATACTGATGCTAAGAGTTAAGTTTAAAATCAGTTATCTAAGCTTCTATCTACAGGGGCTAGAAAAATAAGAAAAATCAGTCATAAAGTAATAAGGAAAAAAATAAAGATAAGTGAAAATCAAATAGAAAACAGCAAACAAAAATCAAAACCATTCTTTAAAAAATTGTTTTACAAGAACAAACTTCTAGTTAGACTGATCAAGAAAAAGAACACAGCCCTGGCCGGTTTGGCTCAGCGGTTAGAGCGCCAGCCTGCGGTCCTGAGAGACCTGGGTTCGGTTCCCACTAAGGGCATGTACCTCGGTTGCAGTTTGTCCCCGGCCCTGGTTGGTCGTGCGGGTGGCAGCCACTCGATGTGTCCCTTCATGACGATGTTTCTCTCTCTCTCTCTGTTCCTCTCTCTCCCTCCCACTCTATCTGTACAAAAAAATGGAAAAATGTCTCAGGTAAGGATAAAAAAAAAAAAAGAACACAAATCTCTGAAAACAAGAATGAAAAAAGGGACATCACTATATATTATACAAACATTAAAAGTAGAACAAAGGAATATTGTGAACTTTATACCTATAGATTTTTTAAAATCCTAAGGAATCTACAAAAAGTATTCTAAATTCTATGAGTTTAGTATGTTCTTGGCCTCTAAATTTAAAATACAAAAAGTAATTAAATTTCCATACACAAGCAATACCATCATTTAAAGATAAAATTTTAAAAAGTACCCTTTTATAATAGTATCAAAAATATTGTCAGGGTGGCAGAAGCTATGTGACACCAGGTAGCTTTCAGTATCAAAACCTTGTTCTCCTTCCTGGGACAAATCACACCAGTCAGTCCTCAGAGTGCTAAAAAGATTGCACTGTAATTCTAATGTACCCCTAAGTTGTTACATTACAAAACCTGAAAAAATACATTCATTTTTTTCTTACCATCTATCTCCCTTTAGGGAAGAAAGAAGATAATATTACCATTTGTACTTTACAAAACCTAGGTTTCTCAAAGCAGAGGGACACCCAGCTCAGTAAGACCAACAAATAGGTCTTTCCCTTCCGGTGAGATTTATTTGCAAGCTTCAGGAAGGTGCCACACTGTCTCCAGTTTCCAGTACTAGAATATGAGGTGATATCTTTACCCTGAAATCCATTTCATTCAGGTCATGTCAGCTCAGGAAAAACTGCATAATGAAAAAGAAAAACATTATGTTCTGATATGCCTATGATCTATCTATGCAGTGAAAGGGAGTAAGGTGCCGAACACTGTATATGTTGTATAACATATTTATATGAAATTATTGAGAAATGATATGCACAGAAATTTGAATAGGAAAGATATCTGGAAAGACTCAAAAGAAATGAGTATTGTGGATTTTTTTCTGAGGACCAGAACCAACAGCTAGGACAGTGATAGAAAGGAGTCTTTTTAATCCTTACCCTTTTCTATGTTTAGAATTATGAAGTGTGACTATATTAATTACTCAGTAATAAAAACCAAATTGAAAAATGAAAAAAATTACCATAAGAGATGAGATGACAAAGACTGAAAACAAACCATTTTTCAAACACAAAAGAAACAGAGTTTTGTGCATTTTATTTAACAAATTCGGGCCACAGAATATTTGTAATGTGAATCCCTGTATTCCAGAGGAAACAGGAAGCAATGCTGATAGGAAATGTTTTCTGTGGTTTCTTTATAAAGTCATCAGTTATCTTCTCCTTTTTACATTAGGATTGTATCTGCAAAGAAAGAAATGGGTTAAATAATATCTAGATAATTGGTGGCATTTCATTTTTAAAGTTAAAGGGTTTTCAAAACATAGTCACACATACAGAATGAGAATGCCAATTTTATTCTTAGAATCAGATATTAAGCACTGACATTTTTACTTTCATCTATCCTTTTGATGTTGCTTTGATGAATATGCGGTAAAAACTAACGCATCAACAAAAAATATATAAAAGCATTAAAATAATTAACAAAAACAACAGTTTAAAAATAAATATGTATTTATACTTTTCCAGCACTTCAGTTTCTTTGCTCCCCAACCCCCCTCCCAATCATATTAAAGTATACCATTTGCACAAAAGAGCGATAATGAGCCTAAAATATATGATTACTTCACAAAATTTTCTACTATAGCAATTAAACAAATGCAGCTGGGCAACCAGTTGTCTCATTTGATGGCTTATAAAAAATCAGCACTGCTTATCAAAATTTTGACCAATGATTCTTACTGTCAATAACAAAATAAAGAATCAAATGGCTGCAAAAGAGACTCAAAAATCTATTACCTTCTTTGCCTTTAAGTAAGTTTGGGAAAATGTTATTTTCCCCTAACCAGTATCTACCTACAACAGAGTATTTTATAAGTATTTGAAAGCGAATTATTATAAGGCTTATAAGATGCTGAAAATATGTTACATCATAATTAAATTATAAGCACCCATTTATAACTCTGCTAAATCTCCCACAAGAACCTACTTTGAAACTCTAATCCAGCCTCTTGTTTTTAAACTAGTGCCAATTAAAACTCAATAAATAATCTGGTATTTTACTTGTCTTAATTCAAAACCCATTCATAATTCTTCTCAGTTGAAAATCTCACAAATTAACCAGCTAAAAACACTCAGCTCAGGAACATTCTTTTACCTGAATGACCCCATGCAAATTTTAAATATCTTGTGGTACAGCCCTGGCCGGTTTGGCTCAGCGGTTGGAGCGTCGGCCTGTGGTACAGAGAGACCCAGGTTCGGTTCCCGCTAAGGGCATGTACCTCGGTTGCAGTTTGTCCCCGGCCCTGGTTGGTCGTGCGGGTGGCAGCCACTCGATGTGTCCCTTCACATCGATGTTTCTCTCTCTCTCTCTCTCTCTCTCTCTCTCTCCCTCCTGCTCTATCTGAACAAAAAATGGAAAAATGTCCTCGGGTGAGGATAAAAAATAAATAAATAAATAAATAAATAAATATCTTGTGGTACAGTACAATGAGTCAACTCCAAACTTTGAAGCTATATCCAGTAACACAACTAAGAGGTGCTCACATAATAAAAAGAAATACATATGTTAAAAATAAAACATTATTTAGGTGAAGGGATGAAGTTTCTATTTCTAAGGACAGAAGAAAAACAAATTTTTAACCTCTATGAACAGAAATGAATTTTATATACTTCTAAGATTCATGAGGGAGCTGAAAAGCAACTTTACCTAAAGAGATCATCAGCAAGGGACTCTTCTTTTGCTTGTTGATTTTGCACCTGTGGAAATTAACATGCTTTCAAAGGTATGCTCAGTGATGCATGTGTACAGTCAATGAATCACTATACTAGTCACCTTTGGGATTTCCACATCCAGGAGGGCACAGGTCTCGATTTCTGGCTTGACATCTCTCCCAGCCCATAGACCCTTGCCATTTTTTGCTTCATGCCACAACTACTGCCAAGTCCTCTAATTAAACAAACTCCACCAAGCCAATCTCTTCTCAAAGGCAACCAACATGTACCCTGCTAGCCCCCTGCTGGGCTTTAAAACATTTTTCCAGCAGAACCCTTGTACTTGATGAAACCTCAGTGTTTTGAGGTCACACCACGGATGAAGGGGCTGCACGGGCAATACTTATCCCACCTTCACCCAGAGCAACTCTCTAGGTCAAGTGGCTCCCTTCCTCATCGTCCCCAACCAGAGCTCGGAAGCTGCTGCTGAACTGCCTCACCCACAAAGAACTCGCCAAACTCCCAAAGCACCTTCCAGAGCTAGGACCCGAAAAACCCTTTGCTGGGGACAGCTTCCCAAGGTCCAGCTCCAGCCCTGCCAAGTGCCGACCTAAGCCCTTCAGTGACTTCTCCCACCTACCAAAGAGAATTAATTAAACAATTAAGTAAAAAAGAAGAATGTAAGGCAACCAAAAGGGATCAAAATACAAATCAAACAAGTTGCCAGACTTTACTTCCCACTAACCTCCATTTCCTGCCTTAGCCAGTCTTCTAATTCTAGATTCTTTCGAGCATGATGAGCTATTAGATCGGATCCTCCAATGATCTGTGGAAGTTTTCCGGCTCCAGGAAATGTGACCTGTTAAGTAGTAAGGTTAAATACATTAACAAATAATAACAATCCGTTTTTTAAAAGCTTAATAAAGCAAGAATTATAAATCATGTGTAATTTAAGTGCCAAAGAGGAATATATCCTATAAGTGACAGTGTGTGAGACAAAGTGGTAACTGTGTTTAGAGCCACACGTTTTTGCCCTACTTTTTGGCCATTATACCTACATTTAGTTATGCAACTGGGATTTATGTACTAAGAGAATTTAAGAATTTGAATTTGGAGGCTGTACTCAGAAATGACATTAACACATCATCCACCAATTAGAGCAACTCAAGGTGAACACACAGACAATAATTTTAAGTATTATATTGTGTTCTAAAGATTTCAGAGCTTAAGTCCTTTTTAGTGCTTGTGAATATTCAAGTATTCAAACTTTCTAATTTATACATCCCTAGCAAGTTTATTTTTTAAAATATTTTTGTTTATTGAGAGAGAGGAAGGGAGAGGGAGAGAGACAGAAACATTGATCAGAGAACAACGATCAGCTGCCTCCTGCATACCCCCCACGGGGCCTGAAACCTGGGCATGTGCCCTGACCAAGTATCAAACAAGCGACCTCCTGGTGTAGGGGTCAATGCTCACTGAGCCACACCAGCCAGGCAACAGTTTATACTTTTAATTGAAATTTTAATTGCTTACAAATAAAGACATGCTTAAAAAATATGTGAAAATGCAAAACAAGTACTCTGGTAATATTGTATTTAGGAAGTAAGTAATTAATCCAATGTAGGAACTGGAAAGGGAATGTAAAATTCATTTTCATCATTAAGCAGTATTTTAAAAGTACAAATACAGCCATGTCATTGATTTCGGTATATAAAGAAAAACTCAGACAAATTATTTCATTAGCGATAACAACATTAAACATATTTTCCTATAAATTTTGGGTTGAGACGATAAAACTTCTTTTATCGTCTCAAAAGAAAATTCTTTGTCAAAGATATTAATATTTTTAATGGTTTTAAGTTTTTCCAAACTATTTTCCAGAAGTCGGCATTGCCTTGTATCTCTTCACGGCTCCTGTGCCAACAGTGAATATTATTGTTTTCCTTTAGTAACTTCATTAATAACAAAATAGTATGTCTTTTGAATTTTGACAATGAGATTTTGTAACCAGATACTCAACATAAAGTATGGGATAAGAATGCCCCTGTGGCACTGGCTGGGTGGCTCAGTTGGTTGAAGTGTCATCCCATGCACCAAAAGGTTATGGATTTGATTCCTAGTCAGGGCACATACCTGGGTTGTGGGTTTGATTCCTGGACGGGGTATGTATAGGAGGCAACTGATCGATGTTTCTCTCTCTCAAATCAATAAACATATCCTCAGGTGAAGATGAAAAAAAAAGAAATCCCCCCACCCCTAGTCTCTGCACAAACCACAGCTGTGGGATGGGAAAGGGTTTATTAGCTATGTGCTGGAGACATCCCCAACTTCCATTCTAAGCAGAAGAGATTCTTACTCTTTGATGGAGTTCAGAACCCTGGAGAGCCTGCCATAGCAGACAGAACACTAATTTAACTGAGAAATGTTACTAGCAGCTCACATTAAAGAGAAAAACCTCCAACACCTCATGGTCTCAGAAAGAATCACACAGATCATGTTCTAGAGAAATGCTTTTTCTACAGAAAGCACTTTCAAAAAAACTATTACTGTATCAAATGCCTAAGCAAAAGCTAGTTGTCAGTAGGTTTACAGACAGAAGCAAATATCCCGGAACAGACAACAAAAGAATACAGAGAAGCACACTGATAAAATAATGATCTTATGCGTTCCTAAAAGAGGAACTCATGTCTGATGGTAATACTGAGTGTACATAGTTATATTTTACATATGCATGTGATAATAAAATGCCCAGTTTTCTTACTAAAGGTGCTCTTATTTTCAACAAATCTGTTATCTTCATAAAGTCCTGCATTAAAGAACCCCTTCAGGTAGTCATAGATCAATACTAGAATTGAGAGGACCCTATCAATACAGCCAACTGCCAGCTGATTAAGGTGGGAAAATCAGGTAAACACACACTGTAAAGAACTCACTCTGAATGAAGTTTGTTTCATTCTAGGTGTTCTATATATTAATTGTAAGTTCACGTTTTAACTGTTTTAAGCAGAAGAAACAGCATCAGTTTTCAATATCAAATGCTTTTATTATGGGTTAGCATCAGTGGTATTTCTAAAACCATTTCAAACACTGCTCTCTTGTGATATTTTAGTTAAAGGAATGCATACCTTCCTGAATTTCTTGAAATTCTTTAGTCGACCACACTCATCATTTTCACGGGGTGCATTTCTGGAGGCAGGACTATTCATCACCAGGGACCTAAATTCAGTCTGTAACATCTTCCTCGGAGGTGTCTCATCACCATTCTGAAGCCCGTCGTCGTTCTTGTATGAGGTGAGATGAACAGATAAGAAGGAAAAGAAAAATTACTTGTCATTGAGGGATCTAAATTTTAAAAGTCAAAATATCTGAAAAAATAGTTTAAAAGGTTTATTTCTGCATCTGAACTTTTTTTTTTTTTTTTTTTTTTTATCCTCACCCGAGGACATTTTTCCATTTTTTGTTCAGGTAGAGTGGGAGGGAGAGAGAGGAACAGAGAAAGAGAGAGAAACATCGATGTGAAAGGAACACATCGAGTGGCTGCCACCCGCACAACCGACCAGGGCCGGGGACAAACTGCAGCCGAGGTACATGCCCTTAGAGGGAACTGAACCCGGGTCTCTCCGGACCGCAAGCCGATGCTCCAACCGCTGAGCCAAACCGGCCAGGGCTGCATCTGAACTTTTATTTGAAATCAAATCGTATCTATTTCAAAACCAGATTATTTATTCAATTGCTCTATAGCGTTAGAAACATTTATAACCTAGTAATCTAAGACAGAAGGTATACAGTATTTTAAAAACCATATAGTATTTTAAAACCTATATAGTATTTTAAATTTAGTAGCCTATTTTAATAAATGTCACCTCAATAAACAATGTATCTTTTTGTATATATTTTCTTGGTAAATCTCAGTACTGTCTGCTTCTCATTAAAACCATACTCCAAGATTATTATACAATCCATTCCACAAGTTCTTATCTACTCTAAACTTTCTTGGGTTTTCAATAATTTTTTAAATTATTATTGTAATTATTTTTGACACCTCAAAAAAAATCAATAATTAATTCTGGACACACTACCTTCTTAACTGAAAACCACTTTTTCATTCTGGATAATAGTTACTAAATCAGCCTAAAATTCCCTTCTGTGGCTGACAGATTCTTTGTATCATTTGTTATTAACTAACAAACAGGCAGACATCAACACTGCTACAGCTGCTCAGGCCAACTACCTCAGTTTTTAAACTACTTTGTATATTTTCATAGGGAAGTCGCTAACAGGACTACGATAATGACAGATAAAGACAGTGAGAACAAAAAAGGGAAACGTCAAAAGAAAAGATTCATCTGAGAGGATGAATCAGGAGCTCTAATAAAACAACATCGGCCTCACACTTTACTACTGTGTTTTCGAATTTAGAAAATGTTCACATCCACTGCTCTACTTGATAGAAACAACAACCCTGCTGGGAAAGCATCAAGTTGACTTTATAAACAGAAGACTTGAGGTTCACAGATGTAAAAAAGACTCGTTCAAGGTCACACTCTCTATGGAGCAGAGGGCAGGGAACGACACTTGGGCTTTTCTCCACACTCTGCTGTGTCATGGTTACAATACAATCCATTCACTTCCAGTGGACACCAAAACGCAGCAGAGAAGCAACCCTAAGCCTGTACACTAACAGACACTGAAGGGATGATGGTCCATAGAAGTCAAATCTTTGTAAATATTAAATTTAAAGTTTTCCTCACAGATGGTTCTTCTTTAGTTGACCAAAGTAGTTCTTTCTTGATCTCACATTTCTTCCCAATTCCATTTTCTTGCTGGAAAAAAAGAAATTATTCGAAGGAGTTATAAAATGGTGCCTTTACGATAACCTCAGCGATATTCATACTCCTGGACACTTATCTGACTTTCAATATCTTTACTACCAAAATTATGAGATAAGAATAGGAATACATGTAGAAAATACACTGTGGTATGAGCCTGTCAAAAGAGCTGGAAGCAATCTAAATTCATGTAAGTTATATATGTAAGGATATTTAATAATATGAGAAACAATAAGTACATAAAAATGGCTTTAAAATTATATTAATAGATTCTGAGTTTTCAAAATGATTTAAAAAAATGAAACACCAAAATATTAATTACAGTTACCTGTAGACAGTAGGATTATCAACAAACTGTCATTATATTTTTTATTTTCCAAATTTCTACATTATGTATTGCTTTTACAGTTAAAAATAAAAACAAACACAATTAACAGATTCTATCCAAATTTATTTAGAACTGAATTTTAAATCACCTTTAATCCAAGAGTGAAACAGAATTACTTTAATCATTCGAGATGTTTATCTGTAATGAACTGGAGACTGCCTTGGATACAGTCATATGCTCCTTCACACTCATGTCCAGACCACATTCTAAACAAAAGTGCATTACAGAGATGGCTTTCTAATACTTTAGTGAAAACTACAGTCCATTTGGATACAATAGAGGGGCATATGGTTTTACAACAAATTTTCAATGATTCAGAAATAAAAATTCAGGAAAATTTTAAGAAAGTTGGAAAGAAACGGTAGAAAAATAAAATGTACTTTTTGCTTGCTTAGAGGCTAAAGAAAATTAATGTAGCCCTGGCCGGTTTGGATCAGCGATGGGAGCATCAGCCTGCAGTCCAGAAAGACCCAGGTTCGGTTCCCGCTAAGGGCGCGTACCTTGGTTGCAGTTTGTCCCCGGCCCCGATTGGTCGTGCGGGTGGCAGCCACTCGATGTGTCCCTTCACATCGATGTTTCTCTCTCTCTCTCTTCCTCTCTCTCCCTCCCACTCTATCTGAACAAAAAATGGAAAAATGTCCTAGGTATGAATAAAAAAAAAAAGAATATTAATGTATTTATCAATAGTGAGATTACAAATTTATATTCTAAGCCTACCATGTGCCCTTCACTGAGTACTCCCATTAGAAGCCATTTTCATTCCCTCGTAGTACCTTCTTTCTCCCCATCGTGCCCATTTCTTCAGACTTGCTCATTCTTTTTTTTTTTTTTTTTATCCTCACCCGAGGACATTTTTCCATTTTTTGTTCAGGTAGAGTGGGAGGGAGAGAGAGGAACAGAGAGAGAGAGAGAAACATCGACGTGAAAGGAACACATCGAGTGGCTGCCACCCGCACAACCGACCAGGGCTGGGGACAAGCTGCAACCGAAGTACGCGCCCTTAGCGGGAACCGAACCCGGGTCTCTCAGGACCGCAGGCCGACGCTCTAACCGCTGAACCAAACCGGCCAGGGCCAGACTTGCTCATTCTTTTAAGCAAGTTTATATTTCTTATCTCAGAGAATCATACTACAATCTACATAGACACTCAGATTTATCCTAGCAGGGTAGACCTGCGTTTTGGTCCCAGTTGTCAAAATCTAGCTACCAAGCTTGGCAAGTTACTTAACGCCTCCTCCTGTTCATTTCCTAACCTGTTCAATGCATACAGGATGCTTCACCGTAGGGCTGTTATCCAATGAGAGGTAGCTATTGCAATGGGCTTCAGAAGATGCTATAGTTATACAAGGGTAGGAACGCTTAATCTAGAACAGGAGGTGAAATAAGATGGAGAGATTGTGGGACAGTGGGTGCTGTGAAGAAAAATGTTAACAAGGATGCCAAGTCATGTTTGCATTTTATGGAGGCCGGGAGACTGAAAGGAAGGCCAAAACTGAGGCACAGATGCCATTTATATCACGATAAACTCCTAGCAGGAGTATCAAGCCAATAGCTTTCTATCTCAGCTTACAGGAAATCTTTACAGACATGCTAGAATCTATATTTAAATCCCAAAATAGGAAAATGGCAGTTCTACCATATTTTAGAAAATTGCCTTTCTGAAATATAACTAAGGAATCCAATGTCAACTAGAAGTATCACGTTTTGCCTTCTTAAAATTGAAAAATGTTTTTAAAATAAAAGGATTATTTTTTCCTGATAATCATTTCTGTTGCTAGAAATATTAGGTGCAATTCCTTTAATCCACTTTGAGTCATTTTAAAATCTTAAAAATGAAAGAATTGAAGATGATCTCATATTGTCTGAGTAAGGATGATGAATTGTCCACATCAATTCTCTGGTACTTACTTATGCAAAATGCTACAATCAGGGGAAATGGGTGAAAGGTGTGTGGGATCTCTCTACATAATTTCTTACAACAGCGAGTGAATCAGCAATTATCTCAAAAAAAAAGTTTTAAATAATTATCTTACAATAAAAGGAAAACTACTTTTATGACAAGATTTTCACTAAAAAATTATAGTGCTAGAATACGGTGATTTAATTTTTAGAATACCCAAAGGTGTATGTGACAAATTGCTATTCACTCTCCAAAAGTATACACACATACTTATTTTGTACTGTATTTTTATTCAGAATGTCATGAATTCTGAAATAATAAAATAAGGATAAAGGAAATGCTACAGAATCATAGAGCAAAATAAAATAATTACTCCTGAAACATTACATAGTGTGTAAATGTTGGCATTTAAATCAAAGATCTCTTCAGGCCCACAAAAGCCTTATCTAATGGTCCCTGCAACACTGGGTCCATGCCACTTCCTGTCTGGGCTCCCATGCCCACCTCCTTGTTGACATGAGCCCTGGGAAAACGTGCGATCAAAGTAGATATTTAGGAAGATTAATCAGCAGCCACACAGGGCAGACCAAAGAGTTCTGTGACTAAAAACACAACACGTCCAGACAGAGCGGTGGCCACTGTGAGCAGTGGACCAATCTGGAAGAGAACTGAAGAAAAAGGGGAAAAAAACGTTATTTAAAAAACATGTAATAAGACAAGATGATGAGAGACGGAAAATAAAAACATATCAGAAAATAAATTAGAAATAAATACAGGAGGAAAGGGTACCACAAGGCAAATGTATTTCCCAAGGTGTGGCCACAGTAATATATCAGCAGCCTAACTCCACTTATAACATTAAGAGGCCTGGACACAAGTTCTAGAACAGGCTGGAACTAATGTGACAATGTAAATTCATGTGATTTTATTAAACTTGGTTAGGAAGTCACCCCTTGGATTTCACCACATGCCACATTAAGCTAACTTAGCTCTCCACTGTAGTGGCAATTGCTTCACAAATTGCCACTTTGTTCAATTAATTTCTTGGTAAAGTGAGAACTAATCTTCAATCTTTGACAATAAAAGACCCGTCTGACGTTTTCAATCCAGCTAGAGTGAATCTCAGTGCCCACTCTCTTTCTTCCTTGTGGCGGCTAAGTTTGTTAGGGATGGCCACGTGCCAACCTGAAAGCACATCCCAGACTCTCTAGGACCCTGGGAGGGTGGGAGGGATAGGGAGTGGTGCAGACCAGGACTAAGTTCTGGCCAATAATCCAAGCTATCAAGTAGAGTTTCTGAGGAAGCTCCTTAGAAAGCGGTGAGAACTCAAGTGAAAGGTCTTTATGCTGTCCTCTGTCCACCATGCTTCCTCCGTGGAAAGTCACAGTGACAGCTGGAGGTGCCATCTCATAGACCAGGAAGGCAGACTCCTAGGAAATTAATAGCATGGAACTGCCAAGCAGCTTTGCTTACCTACTTCTGGGCTTCTTTTATAGAAAAATAAATAAATAAATAACCATATCTTATTTAAGCCACAGATTTTAGAATTTTTAAAGACTTCAGAGGAATTCTAATACAATGAGGGAATTTTTCTGGGAAGAAAACTGGATGTACTGAGTCAGGATCTCTGGGGCTCTGGTCTGGGAACCCACATTTAAAAACCTTACTAGGTGATTCTGGCAGCTGCTCCACACAAGGGCATCTGGGATTTACTTCTAAGAAGTAAGTAATGAGGATTCTCTCCCTCATGTGAAGATGCCAATATATAGGCTAAACAGGACATACACTTTTTTCCTTCAATAGTAGTTATTCATTTATATAATGCTTGATATACACGAGGTTCTCAACATCCACCGTAACCTCCCAATCACTTCATCCTTATCCTTTTACTAAGTTCTGTCCTTACCCAGTAGCTGTTTATAGAAGGGGATGACCACACACAATCATAAATAAGAGCATAGCTGACAGACCTAGGTGGGAGATCAGAATATTAAATTTTGATTTCATGAGGTCTGTGCTATCATCTAATATGCTAACTTGTCTGCAGATAGTAGACAACTTACAGTGCATACTAGAAAGTAATATGAAGAATTTTCCCAGACCAAAGTGAGGAGGACAATTATCAACATATGCATGAAAATAGGATAGGACATTAAAAATCAAAATGAAAACTAAAATTCTTAGTGATGTTATATATGTTTTATCCCAAAATTTTATTTAGTAGACACTTTGTTTCACTAACTTTCTTCATTTTTCTGTCTTTACTTCCTCTATTAAGGCATCTGCTTTACTTACATTCCTGGCCAAATGTCTGATATAACAGTACAGCCTGGAAAGCTATTAACGATGAGTAACAGTTTTATTTACTGTCATTTATTATATACTGTCAAAGAATCTCTGTATTATTAACATCTACTTTATCCACCCACAGATTATACTTAACACTGGGTTGTTGAAGATATTAATTTTTGTCAAGAAAACATAACAGATGCTCAGTCATACTGTCAATACAAATTCTAAAACGCTTTTTACCATTCTAAGTTTCTATTTGTAATATTTTTCATTAAAAAATGTTACTTACAGATATTTTGTTCCTTTCTGGTAGTGTTTCATCATTAAAAGAGCCATTTGTTTCTATAACCAATCTTGGCATTTTTCTAAATTTGACATCTTCCTCTTGTTTTAGACCTTTCACTTCAATTTCTAACTCTGGTTTTGTTTCCTTGAGTAACTCCTCCAGTACTTCATCTTCTATGGCTACATCATCAATTTTCCTTTTTTCTGATCTTAGTTTTTCTGTAGAAAAAAATTTACTGGCAGGATTTTTCACAGTGGATTTTGACTCTGTATCTATAAATACGTTGTCTGGGTTTTTCCCCATAGGCTCGCTCTCAGGTAGATGCTGCTCCTCATTTCTCCACACCGAGGGTGTAGCAGGTTGTGTCTCTTCCAGAAAGAAACAAGACGTTTCCGTTCTTGCTGATTTAGATGAAGACGTATCTTGATTTTCTTCATTCCTTTCCCTTAGATTTAAAAAAGAAAAGAAAAAAACAAAAAAGACAATGAACACAGCTATGTAATTTAATAGTTTGGCAACATTTAGCCCTCTTGCATTCAGTTCACAATATTCTTGGTTATTAATTAACAATATCACTGGAAATAAAAAAAGACATCAGAAAACAGTACCTAATTCAGACATACTCAACTGTTTTGAGAGGATTGATCACCCATACAGCTAAAACAATACAGAGAGGTCTATCTTTGCTGAAGTAGTAGTAGTTGACAAATCAATGTGGAAAAGCAATAGAAAGATATAAAAACACAAAGGACTTGTTGCCAGAAAACAGTAGTTTACTTTATAATGTAGGGAACTTCTGGGCAGGGAAAAAGCACCCTGGGAATGACACTTGATGGGTTAATGAGCTGCATTCAAGAGATAGATAGTCACAGGGGCTAATCCAGAATATTCTACAGACTACATATAGCAAGTGACATGTGAGCACGTGACTAAGCATCTTCTAGACAACACTATATTGTTCTTCCATAAGAACACTATTCATTTCAACTGTACTGAGGCCTATAGAGGACACAAGCTCAGGTTTCTGATCTCCGGGAGTTTACTGGGCTCACATCGAACTGAAACAGTCAGGTGATATTTTAATAATTCGAATCTAACATCAGGGTACTGGACAGACCAATCAAGAGGTTTTTGTAATAACTGGAGTCGTCAGAGTTTGAACCAGAGAAAACAACACAAATAGATGGAAAGGGAGCAATTTATAAAACACTGAAAATAAGAATCAAACTACTGGTTGGAGGGGAGCACAGAAGAGTCAAAGATTTTGACAAAGTGAACACCTAACAAAAATACTACACATTCAGTGATACACCACATAAACAAAAGATAAAAATGATATGATCATAACAACAAATGCTAAAAAAAGCATTCAAAAAAATCCAGCACCCATTTCTGACAAAAACTCTCAGAAAAGTGGGATTAAAGGATCACACCTCAACATAATAAAGGCCATATATGACAATCCTCAGCCAACATACTCAATGGGCAAAAACTAAAAGCATTTCCATTAATAACAGGAACAAAACAGGGATGTCCACTTTTACCAATTCAACATAATACTGGAAGTCTTAGCCACAGTAATCAGACAAGAAAAAATAAAAAGCATCCAAATTGGAAAGGAGGACGTGAAACTGTCATTGTTTGCAGATGACATGATATTATATACAGAAAACCCTAAAGACTCCACCAAAATACTAGTAGATTTAATAAATGAATTTGGCCAAGTAGCAGGATACAAAATCAACATCCAGAAATGTTTAGCATTTTTATACACCAATAATGAACACACAGAAAGAGAAACTTAAAAAAAAAAAAAATCCCATTTACCACTGCAACAAAAAAATTAAGATACCTAGGAATAAACTTAACCAAAGAAGTAAAGGACTTGTTCTCAGAAAACTATAGGACATTGAAAAAGGAAATAGAGCAGTGGTTCTCAACCTTCCTAATGCCACGACCCTTTAATACAGTTCCTCATGCTGTATGTGGACAGACCCTCCTGTAGATGGATAGAGGAGCGGTGTCTCAGTTCCTAAGACCATCGGAAATATGTATGTCTTAGGCGACCCCTGTGAAAGGGTTGTTCAACCCCCAAAGGGGTCACAACCCACAGGTTGAGAACCACTTAAATAGAGGAAGATATTAAAAAGTGGAAACATATACCATGTTCACAGATTGGAAGGATCAACATCATTAAAATGTCCATACTACCCAAAGCAATCTATAGACTCAAAGCAACCACAAAAAAACTCAATGATGTATTTCACAGATCTAGAACAAATACTTCAAAAGTTTATATGGAACCATAAAAAGACCCTGAATAGCCACTGCAATCTTGAAAAAGAAGAATAAAGTGGGAGGGATCTCAATTCCAGCTATCAGGTTATATTACAAAGCCATTGTACTCAAAACAGCCTGGTACTGACTCAAGAACACGCATATAGCTCAATGGAACAGAACAGAGAACCCAGAAATCAACCCAAGACATAATGCTCAACTAATATTTGACAAAAATGGCAAGAGCATACAATGCAGTCAAGATAGTCTCTTAAATAAATGATGTTGGAAAAATTGGACAGCTATGTGCAAAAACAATGAAACTAGACCACCAATTTACAACATACACAAGAATAAACTCAAAATGAATAAAATATTTACATGTCACTAGTGAAACCATAAAAATCCTAGAAGAAAATGTAGGCAGCAAAATCTCAGACATCACATAGCAAATTTTCACCAATATATCGCCTAGGGCAAGAGAAACAAAGAAAGAAATAATAAATGGGACTACACCAGGCTAAAAATCTTCTGCATGGCAAAAAAAACAAGCATCAAAATGAAAAGGGACCCTGGCTGGTTTGGCTCAGCGGTTGGAGCATCGGCCTGTGGACCAGAGAGTCCTGGGTTCAGTTCCCACAAGGGGCACGTACTAAAAAAAAAAGGAAACACACTGTATGGGAGAACATAATTGCTATGTTACATCAGATAAGGGGTTAATTTCCAAAATATATAGAGAGTAATCATACAACTCAACAAAAGGAAGACAAATAATCCAATTAAAAAATGAGCAGAGGACCTGAATAGACACCTTTCCAAATAGGACAAACAAATGGCCAAGAGATTATATAAAAAAATGCTCAATGTCAGTAATCATCAAAGAGATGCAAATTAAAGCTACAATGAGGTATTATCTCACACTTGCCAGAATGGCTGCCATCAACAAATTATCAAACAAGTGCTGGCAAGGATATGGAGAAAAGGGGACTCTAGTACACTGCTGGTAGAAAACAATATGGAGTTTCCTCAAAAAATTAAAAATCGAGCTTCCATATGACCCAGTGGTCCCATTTCTAGGAATATATCCTAAGAAGCCTGAAACACCAATCAGGAAGAATATATGCACTTCTGTGTTCATAGCAGCACTATTTACAATAGCTAAGATCTGGAAACAGCCTAAGTGTCCATCAGTAGATGAGTGGGTAAAAAAGCTGTGGTATGCCCAGCTGGTGTGGCTCTGTGGATTGAGCATCATCCCATGGACTGGGAGGTCCTGGTTTGACTCCTGGTCAGGGCACATGCCAGGATTTCAGCCTTAATCCCCAATGTGGGACGTATAGGAAGCAGCCGATCGATGTTTCTCCCTCACATCAATGGTTCTATCTCTCTCTCCCTAAAAATAAATGAAAACATATTTTTTTTCAAAAAGGCTGTGGTACATATACACAATGTAGTACTATGCAGCTGTAAGAAACAAAGACCTCTTGCCCTCGGAGACAACGTGGAGGGACCTGGAGAGTATGATAAGTGATATAAGCAAATCAGAAAAAGAAATATCACATGATCTCACTTTTTGTAGAATATAATGAACAAAATAGACTCAGAGATATAGAAGTAGTTAACAGACTGACAAACCTCAGAGAAAGAGCGGGTGGGAGGGCAGGAAGAGATAAACCAAAGAACTTACATGCATATATGCATAACCAATAGACAGACAACAATACTGTGAAGGTGGTGGGGGGAGGACAAAAGCAAGGAGGAGAGTGTCAAAGGGGAAAAAAGGAGAAACGTCTGTAACAAAAATAAATCAATTAATTAAAAAGAAAACATTCAGTCACTGAGAAACAATTTCAGCACTATCATTTGGGAAAACAGCAGGAAATTCCTGTGCAAAAGTGAAGCTTAAAGGATGAGTTAGAGCCAAATGTACTGACCATCTCTAATAATGTCACGACATCCTGCAGGTAGATATAAAGAGGAAAAAAGCAGTGGTGGGAGGAAAAAGGCCTCAAAGCAGGGGCAAAGGGCCAGTGAGAGAGGACAAGATCCAGGACAGACCAGTGCCACACAACCAAGAAGGGACTCGAGGAGAAGGCTTGGGAGCTGCATGTTGTCAACAGGCCATTTAAGGGGTGATGTATCAGTGGTTACTTTCAAGGACATCACGTCCAGATGAAATCTGCCCGTTTAGAATTATCTCATACAGAAATGGGAGCAGTGACAATTGTCTCCTTTTCTGAGAAGTTTAACAGTAGCAAGAGGAAGAAACTGAGTTGAGGGAAGGTTGGAAGAAATGAGACAGAGCTCTTGAATACAGAACAGGACCCAGAAGACACTAACGTGCTAGAAATTGAGAGAACACTGATGAAGCAGGTCCTACCTCAGGGAAGGGACAGAGGTGAAAGGATAGTGCGGCCAAGGAAACAACAGATGAGTGAAGGCACAGAAGGAAAAGGTGAGAGCAAATCCATCCAAAGGTGAGGGAGCACGGTCAAGGCCAAGCTTTCCCCAGACTAAACACCCCTCTCCAACCACATGACGAACATTTCTCCGAAACATGGAGGGCTGTGAAGATGTACCTTTTCTTGGTGGATGGCTGAAAGTAGTTTCGGATGGAGTTGGTCTTGGGCTGCTGGGAAGCCAGATCTCTACCTCTACTGACACTTGGGAGCATCACTGGTGAGAGCTGATAGTCTGGGACTTTCGTCCTAAGTTGAGCGTTTGATCCTACAGTAGTATTATCAGAGCTTATTTTGGGGGGTTCCTTAACAGTAGAGGGTGCTTGTGAAGGCATTCTCAAATTTTGTTCCATTCTGGAGATTTTGATTTCTTTTGGCCTTGTACTAAAATCCATACTGTAGCAAAAGAAAAGAATGCAAGGAAATCAAGTTTACAGCAGTTTTTATCCAGAAACAAAGTTCTTTAAGTAGTACTAATGTAACACAGTTTTAGAACATAATTATGCTCAGACAGTGATAATTCAGTGACTGTTTTACTCTCCCGTGTCATCAATGCTCCCTGAAGACGGATGACCCCTCTCCTTCTCGCACTGCCAAGCACACATGGAATAATATCAACCCAGTGTCCTCTTATGACCTAGAATCCAAGGTAATTGTTGCTTTGTTTAAAATTTTTAAATTATTTCCATGCAAAAAAATTAAAAATGGAAAAATTACAAAAAGAATAATCTCCTAGCATTCCAGTATCATAGATTAGGGTATTCAGATTACTTTAAATGAACTAATGTGATTATATTCCAGCCAGACGAAGTCTCTACAATAGAACTCAGCTCTAGACTGCCTGAAAAAATATTTTACACACACACATCTGCAATGCATGGCTGAGTATATACAGTCTTTGCTATTCATATTTCACACAAAACAGTAAAGCTGTCATTCAAGTGACCTTCAAAACACTTGACAGTTTCTTTTTAGAAAGTTCTATCTGGCCTCAATATAAAATATGGTGCAGAAAACTGAAATGGGGTCATATACAGTGATAATCACAAGTACCTTTCAATATGAAAATTCATTATGGGTTATTCAAAATAAGACACACTGTGTTAATTATTTAGATTAGCCAGGTATACACACATAAAGTATCTCCAAAATTATAAGTAATGTTCAAATTCAGGCAACATCATATAACACAAACTCATTTTGCCAGTCACAAATAAAGCAGTATAATTCTTTCTTGTCTTCTATGTACATTTACAAGGAACAAAAAGAATGTTATCACAAGATGGGTTGGCAAAGGACAGCCTGCATGTGGGATCTGGCCTGCCATCTTTTCTGTATATTAAGTTCCTTGGAGTACAGCCTCTCATTCATTCACATGTTGTTTTGGCCGCTCCCACGGTACAATGGCAGAGTTCAGCAGCTGTGACACAGCCAAAAATACTTACTCTCTGGTCCATCATAAAAAGTTTGCTGATCCCTGTCCTAAAACATTATTTCCCCTGGCATCCTGTCTCTCATGCTACACCTCCCAAGATAATGATCTGATAAAGGCTCTGATAGAATTTGACAGAATTATATGACAATTTGTTAACAGGGAAGCTTTACCATGTGTCTGCTTGCTCTGACTCCGTGTCAGCCACATACGTCACAGTGTTCATGGGGGCACTTGACATGAGTTGCTCTTTGACTGACAAGCCTTGGGAAAGGCTCAGCCCTGGACTCATCATCCTGGATCCTGCAAATCATAAGTGTGAAAGAAAGAACACAGCTACTGGACACAAGAACACTTGGTCACTCACTATTGTTATATTGTGTCATGCTGACAGAACTAACCATGTAAGTAAGACAGCACATGGCTGTCTCCAGTCAGTGGAGCCAACAAATAGTTAACGAAATGGCCTCTATGATGAGTTTATCTAAACTAAATCATTTTATTTATTTTTATTATTATTTTTTTAATCCTCATTCAAGGATATTTTTACATTTATCTTCAGACAGAGTGGGGGTGGAGACAGAGAGAGAGAGAGAAAGAGAAACAACGATGTGAGAGAAACCATCGATTGGTTGCCATCCGCATGACCCCACTGGGGCCGGGGACAAACAGCAACCGAGGTACATGCCCTTGGTCAAAATCAAACCCAGGACTCTTTGGTCCTCAGGCCAACACTCTAACCGCTGAGCCAAACCGGCCAGGACTAAACTAAATCATTTGATAGCTATGTCATATCCTTCATGGTAAAGAATTAAGTAAAAATAATCAACTTAAATTCTAACTCAAATAATGCTTTAAATCAATAGACACAAAATTACAGTTCTTCCCCAAAGAAAGTGTATCTACCCTACCATCTACACAAATCATAACGTAAGTTCTATTTTTAGAAGGAATACACTATCTGAAAAATATACATAAATAATTTTAGACAAATTTTTTGGCTACTAAAGAAAATCATGACTATGTCATCATTTTAGTTACTAGGACAGCGACTTAGCTCAAGTGCCGCTCTCCTGGCACACTTCTCTGAACCTGCACTGGAAGAGGGCCTTCATCTCAACTCCCATGCACCTGCCCATTAACTTCAATACACTATCTCCAGCTGTGGGACCTGCATTAGTGAACCTCTCTATGCTGGACGTTTCTATCTATAAAATGGGGAAGTTGAGGGTAAAATGACCTGACATACGGATGGCACTTGGAAATGCTTGGAGCACAGTAAGCACTGTGCAAGTGTGGGTGTTACCACTGCTTCACTGTGCATGGCGCTGTACATCTGTGACTTTCCCTTCTGTCTCGGAGCTGGGACGGAAGCCATTCATTTCTGTCTCCAGTCCCAGAGCAATGTTTGGTAAATAGTGAACATAAATAGGTTAATGGGATTAAATTGGAGCTGAACATTTTGATAAATGGCATTTACTAAGTATCTAGGCTCAATTATCACTGTTAGGTCTTCATGACATAGATGTGTCTAACAAATGTTTACTACTGATTTCAAATTTAGATATTTAAAGACTGCCACTCTCCTTAGGTGACCACCTCACAAGCTCACTTGGCATTTCCTTGAACATACATATCCCTAAAACTCATTTTTGCTTGCACAGAAGTTTGCAAAAAATAATAATTACAGATGTTTATATAATCACTAAAAGAAACATTTATAAATGGAACCCAATAACCCAGAATAACTGATGTCTGTCAACAGTAAGATCATTTACAATGTTCCCCCTGCTGAAAATATCAGAGGGCAGGGATTATTTGGTCTGGTCTGCTCACCTCTTTATTCCAAGTGTTTAGAATAATTACAGGTATATAACAAATGTTCAATTAATACTTGTTGAATAAGTAAATGGATGACCATAGCAGGAGGAAAGAAAGGAGGGGTGAGACAGGGAAAGAGATATGCATTTGTTCTGTTCCCCCAAACGGGCTGTCTTCTAAAACTGTAAGTCAGAGGTGTATGACTTGGAACCCACACTGACCTACCTATGAATGTGTGCAAGAAGTAATACTACTGCCTGGCTGGTGTGGCTCAGTGGTTGAGTGTCAACCCATGGACTGATAGGTCCCAGTTCAATTCCTGGTCAGGGCACATATCCAGGTTTTGGGCCCAATCTCCAGGGGAGGGCATGTGGGAGGCAGCCAATCGATGTTCTCTCTCATCGATGTTTCTCTCTCTCTCTCTCTCTCTCTCTCCCTTCCTCTCTCTCTAAAATCAATAAAGTAAAAAAAATGTTTTAAAAAAGAAGTACTACTACTAATTATGATGTAGATTTTTACCAGTTCCTTATGACCTTGTTTCTATATGAAACTATACAACAGAAGAAGTAATGGTCTATAAATCCAAATTTTAGGATTGGCTTGGCCATATAGTATCTCTGGGACCTTAACTCTTCTCAGCCTTGAGATCTCTTACCTTTTAATAAGAAGACAGATCAGATGATCTCTAGGGCCATAAATACATTCCAACCATGGATGATGAAATGGCAAAGATAATTGCTGCTCCACAATGGCAAAGATAATCTTATGTACCAACAACTTAGTTCAAATTAAGTAAATATTCATGCCTCCTACAAACAAGTAATGTGCTTGGTGCTGTCAGGGATAGTCAACAAGAGCTTACAAACAACACAGTGACTGGTAGAGGCATGGAAACAGTTGGGTAGATTTCAAAGTAGGAAGAAACTCTAACTGCAATGTAAACAGAAGTTGCTGGGGTAGAGAATAGAGTAACTGATTCTGACTTGGAGGAGAGTTATGAGAGAAAACAATTTGGAAAAGCTCCACGACAGAGATAAGTATCTGTGGAGGAGGCAGATCTGGAGCAGGAACAAGGACCATAGGAGCAAGGTCAAGAGTAGGGACTAGAAATAAAAGAGCATGCCCTGGCCGGTTTGGCTCAGCGGTTAGAGCGTCGGCCTGCGGTCCTGAGAGACCCGGGTTTGGTTCCCGCTAAGGGCATGTACCTCGGTTGCAGTTTGTCCCCGGCCCTGGTTGGTTGTGCGGGTGGCAGCCACTCGATGTGTCCCTTTCATATCGATGTTTCTCTCTCTCTCTCTGTTCCACTCTCCCGCCCCCACTCTACCTGAACAAAAAATGGAAAAATGTCCTCGGGTGAGGATAAAAAAAAGAAAAGAAATAAAAGTGCATGTGTGTTCTGTAAGGTATATTTGAAAAAGTGAGGATGTGAGGAGACAGGCTGCGGCTAAACTCTCGAGGACTCACAAGTCTAGACAAGGTTATGGGTTTACTCAATCGAGTGAGAAGTAAGAGTTTTAAAGGGAAAATGATTGCAGTGGCAAAGTAAAATGTTAACTGTAGAGATGGATATAGAGACAGGACCTCTACGGGGCCGATAAGCAGCCCTCAAGACAGACAGATGTGCAGGGTTCACATAGGGCAGAAGCTGTGGGAGGGCATGGGAACAGCCTCTGAGCAGCAGCTGCAGAGGGAGTACTTTAAGTCTTGTAAGAATGAGGAACGACTGACATAAAAGGAGGCTCCTGTCTAGTTAGTCCTTCCCTAGATAATCTAACCCACTGGTTCTTGGCATTTGTATGAGAAACACAAGCATAAATTCAATTAAAACAAACAAAAAGATGTCTTGGCCATATCCCAGAATATTTTAAATTACGGAGAATGTAAATTTGCATTTAAAAAAATGTTTCTGAAGCATTTACCTAGTTGAGAATTAGTTTTCTAAAAGATAAACAAAGGACAGTTGTCCTACATAGGGGCTGGGACAAGCGGAGCTACTCAGACACAATTGTTTGTTTTTACACGTTTTTTGGTGTGTTGTTAAAAGCTTGCAATTATTGATAGGATTCGTTTGTTTTGTGTTTTTCTGTAACAGAACAGAAATCCTGTCAATAACAGTATCTAGAGCGCATACTGTCTCTGAAGGTGGTGTAGTGTCTCCAAGAAGTGGCTGTTTGGATCCATACTGACGCGCATCTCTCTCAGAGGCTGGGAAGTTGTCTTTAGCTTTGACTCCAGGGGTGAATTTTGGGGAAATACTCAACATAACACAATTCCAGAAAAATACATTCTTTGGATATACTGAAAACTTCACAAGCATTTAAAACTGTAGGTGAAGGTCAGCTACATACAGAAACATACCTAGTGTGCTCAGTGGGAAAGGGAGAGACAGCTGGTGAGGAAGCATTCTCATCCAGAGTAAAATACTAGCCTGTCAAACTGTTACCAGATCTCTGTCCTTTCACATCTGCTCCCATCGCCCCACACCGTTTCTCAGAATTTCACACATCCAAGTATCTGCTCTCTGCACCGCAGAGCATTGAAATCATAGCAGCTTTCACTTAAGAGTCAGTTTAATCAAATGATTTGCTACATGATCTCTGGCTAATTTTTTAATTTCTCTGTACATTAGTTCCCTTATCTATAAAGTGCAGACGATGTCATTTATCTTAAAAAGATTGTTTTGCAGACTAAATTTGATGATGTATGTAAATCACTTCCGTCTCTGCAAACTCAAGAGACAGCCATTATTATTACCAATTGTTACTAGTAATGATCTACACACCTAACCAATTCCTGGCCATCAGGCTCTAATGTCTCTCTCCTTCCAAAATCTAGCTTAGCACATTCCTAGCTGGTCTAAACCAGGTTGCAGAGTACAGTCTCTCAGGAGGCACACTGTCCAACTGCATTCAGTGGGCCATAACGTGAGCAATATCCCTGGGTGCACGGTGAGGTATGCTGTCTCCCTTAGCTGAAGTCCAATCACTGCTGACAAGTAACTATAGGAAAATAAATGTATACAGGCATACAGAATGGATGCTCTCATAGCCAGGGAAAGAAGAGAAAGGAGAGATCCTAGGGAGAATAAACATAAAAATATCTAGGGTCCAAAAGCAAGCGGCAAAGAATAAATGAATCATCCTGACGGCCAGAGCAGCTCATTTTCAGGAAAAGCAGGGGAACATGCGCTAACAGCAGGGGCAAGCGCTGCCGCCTGCAAGCACACGGCTGTGCCAGCCAGCACCGAGCTGACTGCAGCACTGGCCCTTCACCTCAGAAATGGCACCACCAGCAACCAGCGACTCATGCCAAAACTACAAGTTGTTTCCAAGCTATACCCTGAATCTGTTCTGCTTCTCCACAGCTGCCACCGCAGTCCCAGGCCCCTGGCGCCCCCACCTGGACTGCCACAAGAGCTTTCCACTTGATCCCCACTTCCTGGACCCCAGAATCCATTCTCCATAGACACAGCTGTGCTCAGGTCCTCCTCTCTGGAACTCTGCTCCCCAGATCCTCCCACCCTGCCCCTTCTCATCACGCAGAACGCGTGATGCCCCAAAGTTATTTCCGCAGTAACACCCTCTTGACCACCAGCTACAACAGCCCACTCCCAGCACTCCACACCTCACTGTTTCTCAGCTTCTCTTTGTACTTGGCACTAACAGAATGTATATGAAGTGTTTGTTTGCTAACTGTCTGAATCCCGACCTTCAGAATATAAAGTTCACAATAACAGGTAACTTGTTTACTTTATTCACCACTGTACCTTCAGCACGTAGAATAGTGCCCAGTACGCAGCAGCCACAAATATTTATCCAGTGAATAAATGACTGAGTGGAAAAGGTGAGTTTTAAAGGCATTGGAAATGCTGACCCCTGGCAAATACACAGTAATGTGCATACAGCCCATTGTCAATTACATAATAAAGTTGCCAAAGAGTCAATAAAACAGTACTTGATTCTTTGAGACAACATGGAGGGACCTGGAGAGTATTATGCTAAGTGAAATAAGCCAATCAAAGAAAGACAAATACCACATGATGTCACTAATTTGTGGAATATAATGAACAAAAAAAGCTGATGAACAAAATAGACCCAGAGACATAGAAAGAAGTATGGTTCAGACTGACAAACCTCAGAGGAGGGGAATAAGCGGGAGGGAGAAATAAACCAAAGAACTTATATGCACGTATGCGTAACCAATGGACATAGACAATAATGCTTGGCTAGGGGGTGGTGAGATAGGGAGGAGGGTGACTGGGGGACAAAGGAGAAACATCTACAACAAAAATAAATTAATTAATTAAAAAATATATTTAAAAAAAACAATACATAAATTACCTGTATTGGGCTGGGCTTGAGGGTCACAGTAATTCTCTGTAGTTATGAAAATCACTGCCAATCCAATTTCTGCTTCAGGAATAGGTCTAAGACCCTGCCTATTAGAATAAAATAGTTTAATTGTTATGATATATTCATTCCAATTAACAAATTTATTAAGATGAAGTCAAGTTGAATCTATCTCCCCCACCTAAGGGGCCCAGGAATTTTATGATATGGAGAGAATTTCAAATATGCATAGTGTTGGCTTACTCACTGAGTAAGGTTACACTGGGCAAGTCCACCACATTTACTAACTCAGGCATTTCATCTGTAAAGGTCTGGAGTAAAGGATACAGGTCCTTCATTTCTAAAATGCTATAATTTTCAGGACAAGAAGACAACAGTAATACTCAAAAGAAGCAATAAAAAAGATTTTTGTAAGCAAATCTATGATTACTAAAATCCTAAAAGAAAACTTAAAGGAGAAAAAGAAGTAGGGAGAAAGGGAAGGAGGGAGAAAAGTAGAAAGAACTATGTATAAGCTGAATCTAGACGTGGTATGATTTAAAGTTTAGTAAATTAAATCATTTTACCAAATTTACATGTGTTAAGGAATCTTATTAAAGGAATCTTATGGTGAACCTATCTTCTGTTATTTTGTAATGTGAATAATGATTGATTTTATAAAACAAAAGCAACATACAGAAACTATACCTCAAATTTTAAGAACTACAAAATTCCTTTTAATACTCATTGCAAGATATTTTAAGAGGCTGCAGAAGTTTAAAAGGTCTTTTTCAGATGCTTTAACATTTGTTCTTTAATGTATTGACTGGGTTAACTTACATTAACTTATGTGCAATTCTAATAGTGGTATACTAAAAAAAAATTTACAAATTATTATAAACAAGTGACCACATATACCTACTTACAATTCAGGTAATTAAAAATTGATACTTTGTTACCCTTCTAAAGGTTTTTGAAACTATAAATATACTATGAAAATTAGTTATAAAGATTGGCTGTATAAAATAAAGTTGAAACATTTAAAACACATATTTAATAACTGCTATACAGACATTACATTATCTTAGTTGGGGAAACAGTAGAAGCACCCTCTTGAAGTCAACACTGAGATATATCTGGCTATATCACCACTCCCTTTCAACACGGCTCCGGAGGTCCCAGGGGACACACAACATACATATATAGAAGCAAAAAAAATATTTCTGTAAGCAAATCTATGATTACTAAAATCCTAAAAAAAAAAAATTAGAGAAAAAGAAGTAGGGAGAAAGGGAAGGAGGGAAAGAAGTACAAAGAGAAGTATACACACACACACATATGGAGAGAGGGAGAGAGAGAGGTATCAGAGACATGATGATTAAAAATAGGACAGAAGTGTCATTATTTACAGATATGGTTTATACAAAAAAAGACTACAGATGAATTATAGCAAGGTTGTGGAATAAAAGAATAGTATCTAAATTTCAGCTAAATTTCTATCCATCAACAGGAAACAACTAAAAGATATACTTAAGAAATAACATGTGTTTATGTTATACCTACCACAGATGTACTATCTGCCAGAAAATATGTAGTATCTAGGCAGACCTAATAAATAGGATTTGAGATCTCTCCAGAGAAATGAGAAAAACTGTTAATTATCACCAAATTGATCTGTGGAGTCAATAAAATTCCTAATCAAATTTCCAAAAAGGTTTTTGGAAAGATGCTTCTAAAATGTATGTGGAAAAGTAAAGAGCCAAGAATAGCCAGGGTGCTTCTGAGGAAGAGCAGACGGAGAGCCTATACTGCTGGACATGAGGGTGTTATTTTTTTTTTCCTCTTTAGTGATTTAGAGAGAGAGGAGGTGAGAAGAAGAGAGATGGAAACATCGATGAGAGAGAACATCGATTGGCCGCCTCCTGCAAGCCCCCCATTGAGGTCCACAACCTGGGCATGTGTCCTGACAGGAATCTTGGTGCATGAGTCGATGCTCAACCACTGAGCCACACTGGCCAGACATGACGGTGTTAATGTAGTGTTGGTGCAAAATGGATGCTGATCAGTGGAGGAAGATAAAGTCAAACCGCTCCAATGTACTTGGAGCTTTGGTATAAACAGAATCCATTCCAGATAGATTAAAAACAAATTTCAAAACAAAATATCAAAATACTAGTACACAATATAGGTGAATAATCTGATCCATGAATAGAAAAGGATTTCTTAAGCAAAATACAAGAACCACATATAATGAAATCTTTGTAATAATTATTGTATATGCTTTTTCATTGTTATGTAGAGTGCACCAAAAGTTACATACAAAGCCTCCTACTTGCATATATATATGTATTTTTTTACTATTAAAGAATAATAAAGTACCTTTGGAGCATATCCATAATTGAATGAATCCATTTTTTCTGAGAGTCAGAAATTAAGGTCTGCGAATTTGTTATTCCTATATCAATAACACAAGTTCCAGAAGCCAAAAAGAAACTCTCTTCTTCTTCATTTTCTTCTGTTATCAACCTAGCAACTCCTCCTCCAAAAACAACTGCTGGACTTAATTTTTTATGCTAAAAATGGAAAGAAGAAAAAAGTAATATAACAGCCACAATTAATTTTGAGTATTTTCTAAAATTTGTAAGAATTTGATCTGGAAATAAAATGAAAGAACTGACATAGAATTGGTCCTACTCCTTAAGAGGAAATCTGGGCCTCCATTCTGAGAAAATTCCTGGTTCACAGGCGCCTCTGCAGCTTTGGAACATCATACTGTCCACAGGGCCGAAGGGCAGGGCTTCCCACCCGAGACTAAAACCCTAGAACTCCCACTTCAGCACACGGAAGACATTCAACACTAATCCAACAAATCAGAACTTAAACCAGTTCTTCCCACCCCAATTTACATATTTATGTAAACTTAATTAATAGGCCAACTGACGGATATTAAGGAATATTATAATCATGTACATGATAGGCAGTTTTTTATTTGATGCCACACTTTTGCAAAAAATCTCAAAAGACAATGCATTAACAGCTATTGAAAACAGTACTAATTTTTCCTCGTGTGTAATGTTTTGTTTAGAAAAATTTAGCTTATAGCATTACCTGCTTGGCACTCAGAAATACAAATGTTTTCCCTTTGAAAATCTGTTTTCTTTCCTGCCGTCCTGACAGATCAATATTTTTACTTCCAATGGCTGGCTCATCAATAGGTGGGTAAAAACTGTAAAAAAATTAAAGTATATTCTAATTATAAACTACTCTGTATGCATGCTGTTAAATTTGGAAATGGAGTAGCTCTCTAGACACTAGAAAGGCTTAATTTCCATAATACCATTTTATTATTTTAAAGAAGTTTTTATCTAGGACAAAATGACAAAAAGCATCTAAATGCTTTTTCTAGAATATTGTGACAGGTGCCACATACAACAGAACTGGTTTTTGTTTGTTTTTTGACAATCATAACAAGACACAATTAAATATATATACGACTCAAGTTACATGAATTACAAAAGCTGAGAGAGACATCCATAAAGATTAGATTCTACCACCATCTTGTGTTTGCTTGGGAACCAGTATATATTAATAGTTTTTGTACTCCAATTCTGTGAACTTCTACTATAAGTGTTTTGTTACAGGTCTCTTTAAGGAAGCTCAGGAAATTAAGTTCTACATAATTTTGTCAGTTTAAATTAAATCTCCAAAGTAAGATTTAAAAATACAATCTTTTAGCTCTTTAATACAATGCTATAAAAACATCTTAATCACCAATGAAAATGTGGGAAAAGAAGAAAATAGAGAGGAGCCCGGCTGCTGTGACTCAGTGGATTGAGCATGGTCCCATGGACTGAGAGATCCAGGTTCGATTCCCAGTCAGGGCACATGCTGGGGCTGCCGGCTCAATCCCCAGTAGTGGGCGTGCAGGAGGCAACCGATTGATGTTTCTCTCACATAGATATTTCTATCTCTTTTTTAAAAAAATCAATAAAACATTATTTAAAAAAGAAAATAAAAAGGAAAAAATCAACAGATAATCCTTAACTCTCTCATCAGTCCAGTCTCAACTTTCTACATACTCAGATATTTTGCTATAGCTATTCAGAAGTGACCAGCCTTTCAGCTTACCTCTACCTTCTAGTAAAAATTACTAATGTCCATGGATAATGGAAGGCTCCGTATTGTCAAGCTGTCAGTTCTTCCTAACTTGATCTGTAAATTCAATGCAATCCCAATAAAACTACCAGCAAGTCATTTTGTGGATACTGACATATTCTAAAATTTTATATGAAGAAGCAAAAGACCCAGAATAGCCAACAATACTGAAGAACAACAAAGTTAAGAATACTGATGCTGCCTGAATTCAAGAATCACTATGAAGCTACAGTAATTAAGACAGTGTGGTACTGACCAAAAAATAGACAACATCGGGCCGGGTACAGGAGGCTTATAGCCTGTCTTCCCCTGTCTCTTGCTAACAGTGCAGACATAACTGCACCAAAAAGGATGTACTTTTGGTGAGGTAAAAATACTGTAGCATGCCTTCCAATTTCAAACCCAGGACTAGCGACAATGCTTTTTTCAGAACTAAAAGAGGAGGCAGTTATGTAATAAAGCCACAACAATTTATTTCATATTCCTACTACTCAATGTAACCCTTTTTCTATTTAATAGTTGAGTTAAAAAAAAAAAGTCTTCAACAAGCATCAAATGGATCCCAGTAGGTGTAGGAACTGATTAAGGGAAAAACTACGTATTTTTTTTAAAAAACATTAAAAATCTGATTTTCAATTGCCATCATCAAGCATGGACTAATGTAACAGACTTTCCCAGTTAACAATGAATCAGGAGTTACTGAACAATCTCTTGGCAGAAATGTTTTTGTGTAGCCATTCAGATTAATAAAGTCATAAACTGAGCCAGAAAAAAAAAATGTATGCCAAACCTAAAGTCAGAAACACCTGAGAATCAGAACAGTAAGTAGGAATCAATGACTAATTTGAAACCCTCTAAGACCATGAAACATACTCTCAGCAGCAGTAACCTATCCCAAGTAATCTAGAATTAATGATGGTTTGCACTCTGTAACAAGGGTCGTTATTTACAGCATTTATCAATTCCTCTAAGGAGGTTCATAAATTGGCTTCAGGGGAAAATGTGATTTTGTTGAAATACCACGCTAGCTGGGGGTATGTAAGTGAAGTTTCAGGTTCTCACAGGATCTAGGACTCAAAAAAGGTTAAGAATCATCTATTTTAAAATCCGAGGATCTCGTTCTGTTAATGTAATTAATGTAATGTTTATATTACTTCAAACATTATTAATACCATATCATTGAGCCTGGTGGTTCACAAATTTAGCAAAGCATATAAATAGAAATAAATAAATAAATAAATAAATAAATAAATAAATAAATAAAGCTAGCTAGTAAGCTATTATGAATCTCCCCACATATTGCAATTAGCAAAATTTCTTTTAACAAGCACCTATTATGATGCCAGGCAACGTGCTCAGACTTTGTATATACAAGTAGTTAAAATACCTAACACTAAATATGTAAATCCTCAGCAGGACAGGCATTAGTCTCCTTCTTCAAAGGAGTTAAGTGACTCTCAGGAGAAGAGAGCTCCATTCCCAGCCCTGGTACTGTCACAATTCTGGCTGGGAATCCTCTGGCTCCCAGACAGGTTGCTGCTGCACCACACAGTCCAGGGAGTGTCCACATGCAGGACGCCTGGCACTGGCCGGTGTGTTCTGCTAATGGCACCTTTGTGCTAGTCACTGCCCTTCAGTGTATTTCTTTAAATATTAGCATATACGTAACACTTGTTTCACCAAGATAAAAAACAACCAACACAGAATATGGGGATCGTTTCTTTACATACTAACAAAAAAAAACTTCACTAATAAAACTGAACTATAACCTTACATCCTGAAACAGTCATTAAAGAGGGAATTAACCTAAAAAAAATTAGTGCTATCATATTTTACATGCCATATTTTATTGTATTTAAAGTACACAATATACCTTTCAATTTGTGGAAGCTGTTTCTTGGACTGAACTGCTTTAAGAAATTCAGTAAAATACTCTGGCTTTACAATCGGACGTCCACAAATGAGTGCACATATTGTCTGAAAGAAGGAAATGTATGTGAATACCTATACTCGTGCTAGCTTATTTTATTTATTATCTACTTTTAATCCTCACCTGAGGATATTTTTCTATTTATCTTCAGATAGAGTGGGAGGAGAGAGAGGGAAAGGGAAAGAGAGAGGAACATCAATGAGAGAGACACATCAACTGGTTGCCTCCCACACAACCTGGTCCCGCAACCGAGGTATGTGCCCTTGGCCAGAATTGAACCTGAAACTCATTGGTTTGCAGGCCAATGCTCTACCACTGAGCCAAACTGGCCAGGGCTTTGCTAGATTATTTTAAAGAAAAGTTTTAAGTTATAGACTACAAAGGGGCTATTCTATTCTTTTTCCCTCTCATCTCTCTAGAAAGAAACCAGTCTATATAATAGAAGTCAGTTCAGTCACTGCTTAATTTAGTATATAAATCCCAACATAATCACTCACTTATGAACACCACCATATTTAGTATTAACTTATAAATTTCTTTGGGGACGTGGAAAAACATAATATAAAACACACATCAATTACAAAACGTATTCCAATTTTTAAAACATTAAAATGCTAAAAAATATGTTAGGATCGAGGCAATGTAACATGTGCCCGAGACAAGACTGTATCAAGAGAGAAACATGAAAGAGAAGACCTTTTCAGCCTACCTTTCCACAGATTGTGACTACGAAATAAGGTTTTTTCAAGAAAGTAAACAAAGGAATAACTGTTTGGGGTTAAGTAAAAGCTCAAAGTAAGTATTTATAGATGGGGTAGGGGCTTTAAGTAGCAAGTGAATGAAGATGTCAGCCTCAAATAAGATATATCCACAACATTTGAGAAAGATTAGGAAATACCTCCACTGGTAATACAAATGAAGAAGATTCAGCATAAGTCTGGAAATAATCCAGCTAAGGAAGGAACTTGTTTAAGTATGCTTCTAATAACATGATATTACCTAAATGTGAGCAAGCAATTTGGGGTATCTCTCAAGAATGGAATCTGAAAGGCATCAACAAATGAAATAACTGACTTATGAAGCAAAAGTGCGCAATTCAACACTGGGCTGAGTAAGCTCCAAAACATGTAATCCTGGGCAAAGGATTTAATTGCTCTGTGCCTCAGTTTCCTCTCCAGAAAATAAAAATTGAACTAAATGTGAAGTTCTATTTTGTTCTAACATTCAATGATTTTAAACACATAAGCTAACCTGTCTGTACTTTGGGAAATTTTACCAAAAAAGTAATGACGAGGTTTTCTTTTTTGGCATGTGATTGATCAGAAGTATCGAAAAGGATGGCTCTACAAGCCTTCACTGATTTATATTCAGGACTTTCACAGGGTGGCTGTCGGATCCCATCACTGAAAGTGTGTGCTCTGGTGAATGGGCGCTAGTTTCCAGGACTCTCATATACTCGGCTCCTATTTCATAGCCACCAAGCAAGAGCATGATTATGTCCTGTTTCTCAGGTACCTTGATTTCTGAGAGTCCACACATGATTTATGAATCTGTTACCTGTGGGTGTACTGGCATAAATAAGTACTCTGCTGAATTTATAAATCAATTTCATAAACTTGCAAAGATGATATAACCCTTGGTCAGAAATAACCTCACCAAGACACAAGTTTGACATGAGGTTCAATCTGAGCAGCAAGACCTTCTCTGCGACACCTCTGTAGCTATAACACGATCTTATTTAATTAATTATATTAAATATTAAAGGATTTTCCTATCATCTAACAAAGAAATCTAAATATCTGTTGCTTTACACTATAGATATTAACCTAAAACAATTCTATATATGTAGGATCAATCTATTTAATAGGAGATGAATCACCTCCCAATGTCTTTCTTCAATTAGTTTTGGATATAAATAAATCTGATGAAGATGCAAAATCTGCAAACACAACAAAATATATCACTGTTTTAATGAATAATCAGCATCTTCTAAATGTACATACTTAAAATCTCTAGATTGTGAAGGTACATTAAGGTAATACTAAACTACAAGAACTTAATAAATATTTATGATTAGGGCCTTAAACCAGATAAAAGAGCGTGAGATGAGATGACAGACTGGAGGAAGACAACTTGATGAGGAGGCAGAAGATGCTAATTGTGAAGACTGGCAGTTGCTCTCTAGTCACTTTGCTTTCAGACTAAAAACACAAGCTACACACTGAATAAACTTCTTGATGAACAAATAACGTAAATCATTCTTTAAAATGCTAAATCAACAAACCTTGAGGAGGGGGACAGGAAGGGAAGAGATAAACCAAAGAACTTATATGCACATATGCATAATCAGTGGACACAGACAACAATGCTGGGGGGGGCGGGATCGGGAGGAAGGTGTCTAGAGGGGGAGAAAGGAGAAACATCTGTAACAAAAATAAATAATAAAATATGGGGTTGGCATATATAAATCTACAACTAACAGTTCTGAAGGGTTTACAGTAAATGACTTGAAAAACAACTATGCATAGTGGGTGAGTTCACAGAACTCATTAACATAATAATGAGGCATTCAACCTACTTTAATGGTAACTTTAACTGATACCATGACAAGGTGAGTGCATTCTTCTGTCCAACTGTTTACAGTAAGTCCTCCCAGCTGCAGTAGGGCTTGATGTAAAGCAGTTTTCCAAGAGACATCTAAACAAGAAGGGCAAGCAACCAAAGGTTCATACTCCACTCTGCAAATGAAAATGAATTACATAAAGTTGTTATCACGGGTATAGAGATGGCAACTTATAGAACTTTAAACACGTGTTATTTTAATTTTTATGTATTACTAAGCTTTGTACCTAATAAAATCTAACTAAATATTCCCTAAATCTGGAGTTGCAAACAAAAAACAACGAAGTTAACATTCTACTTTCACTTATGGGAATCAAGGTTCCAAGGGCACCCCCAAACTCTTCCTCCCTCTGGTCACTTCCTATGACTGACAAGACCCACTGACAACAAACAGTACAAAGTTCACCGCTGTGCTAAGTAGAAACTAAATTAGACTTCCATGTGCTTTAGAATGTGACTGATGCAAATAAAGTGCTCCATTTTTAATATCAACTTTAAAAGTTCTTACCTGAATTTACTTTCAAACACTCCAAAAGCAACTCTATCCCCTGTCTGCAAAGTTTGGGAAAGGCCATTCTGCATTTTTTCCTTATTAACAAAGGTACCATACTTAGAAGTATCTTTTATCGTCAATACAGGGATTTCTTGTGTTTGACTCTGGAAAAAAAAATCAACAAACAATTTAAGTGTTCTACCAGTCAGTAAATATTCAATGATGTTTTTCTATACCTGTAAGAATAGAGATACAAAACCTAAATATCACTGAACAGATCCAGCACTTACTGGATAATGGCTTTTCTTTCTTATTACCGCCAACATGACCACGAGCACAGCTGTTTATATTTGGTTTTAGTACTTTTATCACCCAAGGTTGTAATTAAAACAACCAACCAAGCCAAACAAACTCAAAGCCATTCAAAAGAACTGTGGGGCAGGAACAACAGCTGTTTTCTCTAATAAAACAAATCGGTTCCCACTGTGCAAACCCACCTTGTAGGGAAAATACCTGTGTTCACAGGGGTGCACAAACCCTTTAACGCAGGATACTCACTGCTCCATCCCCAGGCTTGGCACACAGTAAGACTCAATGAATGTTTAGGTCAATATACATATATATGTCCTACTTCCTCTGCGTTTTTAAACCATTAAAATGAACAGTAAAATACTGGAACACAAATTTCAAATATCAAAATAAACAAACACCACTGGTACCACCCAAAAATGTATTTAATTTATTAACATTAAAAAAATCTAGCCCTGACCAGTGTGGCTCAGTTGGTCGGGCCTTACTTGCACAGGGAGGCCTCAGGGTGATTCCCAGTCAAGCTCAACCCCCAGTAGGGGGCGTGCAGGAGGCCGCTGATTGATGCTTCTCTCCCTCTTCCTCTCTCTCAAATCCTTTATTTAAATAAAAATATTTAAAAAGAATCTAATAGGTTTATAAAGTGAAAGTTCCTACAGACTTTCCTATATGCAGCAAGGCAATCTTTTGTGCCCTGACTGTGAGCCACTGAAGTACAACCAGTCACACACCTGGCCGGTCCTGAGAAAGCAGGCGGTTAACACAGCGTGACTGCGACTGATGGACTGATCGTTTTCAATGAGGATGCCACAGTTCTTCCTTCCAACCACGTACTCAACATCCGTCAAAAGTCGGTACGGTTCTAAGAAAATTAAAGAGGAAACTGGTAAACGTACACGTGTACACGCACGCACACGCGTGCACATATAAACAGGTATGGCAAGATTCCAATAAAGTATTTTCACTTTGCTCTTTAAATGTTAACAGTGCGCTCCCAAATGAAGCGTGTTTTTCCAGCAAAGCCTCACTGCAGGACGCAGAAGGCAGACTAGAGGAAAACCATGCTGAAAAGCGCGAACGTTCCACCCCGTTCACGTCTAAATTTATTGCGCATCGACCTTCGCGCAGCTGCCGGTGAACACGCGGCCCGCCCCGCCTCTAGGTAAACCTGCGGGGTGGCGCCGCGTCGAGGGCCGCGAGGGCCGCGCCGCCGCTACAGTGACGTGTCCGACGCCCCGCCCCCTCGCAAGGCGCGCCCCGCCTCCCGCCGTCGCCGGAAGATGACGAGAAGGGCGGGGCCGAGCCGGAAGAGCTCCTCATACCCTCTCTCCCCAGCATGTCCCTGGGAAATCGGCTCTTGATCATTTCCCTTCCGCCTCACCTCGGGCCGAGTCCGCCTCGGGGACCAGCTTCCACATGGATCCAGTCTTAGTGTCGGGACGACGTGCTGCTGCGAAACCTCAGCTCACAGATATGCGCGGCCGCGGCTCCCGCAAACTCGCGGGCTCTGTGACGTGCGCGCTCCCGGGACCGCGCCTGCGTAGGAAAAGTAGGCGGAGGGCAATTTGGCGCCTGGTCGCCACCTGGTGGCTAGGCGAAAATAGCGCAATCTATGGATGTGTACTGGATTAAAGGTCTGGGAAGTATGGATCCCATTTTCAGCTGTTGGCCATTAGATGATCTGCTTTTTTCTGATTGTGAATGGAAATAGCTTTGGCAATTAATTACAAAGCAACGTAAGGAAACTTCATACTTAAAGACACTAACGTACTAACCACTTATGTAATTCCAAGCATTTGCAGTTTCTTAAATTGCAGTAATTCCTTTGTATGGATCCTAATGATGGTGTTTGACGACTATGGTGACTATAACCATTTCACCCTGCCAACTTATTGTTTTTACTCTTCTCCAAATTACAATCAACCTCTCTTAACTTCTCTGTTTCATAATGGTACACTTTCATCTAGTCAGGAGCTGAATTCTTAACACTTCCCTTAGGACCTAACTGGTGCAGGCTCTGCTCCCACTTCAGGAGCCCCTCGTCCTGCGCTGATATCCATTCCACATCCTACACCCAACCAAGTGACTGCTATGACTTCTGGTCATAGAAGTTCTGGTTTTCAAAAGCACTGTGTAATGTAACAAAATGTATTCTAAAGTGATAGTTATTAAGTTATTAAGTCTGTGTGCTATTCGCACAAGGCTAGACAATAGGCAAATGGGTTGAATTAGAAAGACCCAAAAAAGATCCACACATATAAAGCAATTTAAATTTTCAAAAGTAATAGTACAGAGCAATGATGGAAAGGTTTTTTTGTTTTGTTGTTTTGTTTTCCAGTAATGATCTTGAGGGATGTTGGTTAACACTACAAAATAAGTAAAGACAGACCTTGTATCTCATACACACACAAAAAATCAACTCCATATGGATCGTAGATCTAAATATGACAGTAAAATAAATACTTTAAACGTAAAAATTATCAAGAATTAGCAAATCTTTCTTAAACGGAACACAAAAAAAGTGTGCCCCGCACCGCAGAATCCCTAAATTTCACTGATTTGGTGAACCCAGAACAATTTGTAGGAGTTTTCTTGTTGTTTTTCTGGGGGATATATACATGCTCACCGTGGCATCCAATACACTTGTGGATTCTTGTGAATCCAACCTAATTAGAATGCTGACGGGAGGAGGGGGTTCAGGCCGCGCCCCGGAGTTACAACCTGAGCCTGAGAGTGACGTCCGTGGGGTCGCACAGCACCCGGAACCACAACAGAGAGCAAGCGGGAGCTTCGGAGAGCCCAGCCCTGCTGTACGCAGCTCAGACCCGGTAGGAGGCGCGGGACGTCCGGGAGTCAAACCTGCCATACCCAGCTCCCGCCCGGACAGTCCCACAGCCACACCCCGACCCCGCTCCCTGGCCTCAGCCCCGGCCCGCCCCCGCTCCCTGGCCTCAGCCCCGGCCCGCCCCCCGCTCCCTGGCCTCAGCCCCGGCCCGCCCCCCGCTCCCTGGCCTCAGCCCCGGCCCGCCCCCGCTCCCTGGCCTCAGCCCCGGCCCGCCCCCCGCTCCCTGGCCTCAACCCCGCCCCCCGCTCCCTGGCCTCAGCCCCGCCCCTGCTCGCTGGCCTAAGCCACGCCCCGCTCCCCGCTCCCTGGCCTCAGCCCCGGCCCGCCCCCGCTCCCTGGCCTCAGCCCCGGCCCGCCCCCGCTCCCTGGCCTCAGCCCCGGCCCGCCCCCCGCTCCCTGGCCTCAGCCCCGGCCCGCCCCCCGCTCCCTGGCCTCAGCCCCGCCCCTGCTCGCTGGCCTCAGCCCCGCCCCGCCCCCCGCTCCCTGGCCTCAGCCCCGCCCCCGCTCCCTGGCCTCAGCCACGCCCCCGCTCGCTGGCCTCAGCCACGCCCCGCTCCCCGCTCCCTGGCCTCAGCCCCGGCCCGCCCCCGCTCCCTGGCCTCAGCCACGCCCCGCCCCCCGCTCCCTGGCCTCAGCCCCGGCCCGCCCCCCGCTCCCTGGCCTCAGCCCCGGCCCGCCCCCGCTCCCTGACCTCAGCCCCGGCCCGCCCCCGCTCCCTGGCCTCAGCCCCGGCCCGCCCCCCGCTCCCTGGCCTCCCCCCCGCCCCCCGCTCCCTGGCCTCAGCCCCGCCCCTGCTCGCTGGCCTCAGCCACGCCCCGCTCCCCGCTCCCTGGCCTCAGCCCCGGCCCGCCCCCGCTCCCTGGCCTCAGCCCCGGCCCGCCCCCGCTCCCTGGCCTCAGCCCCGCCCCTGCTCGCTGGCCTCAGCCCCGCCCCGCCCCCCGCTCCCTGGCCTCAGCCCCGGCCCGCCCCCCGCTCCCTGGCCTCAGCCCCGCCCCTGCTCGCTGGCCTCAGCCCCGCCCCGCCCCCCGCTCCCTGGCCTCAGCCCCGCCCCCGCTCCCTGGCCTCAGCCCCGCCCCCGCTCGCTGGCCTCAGCCCCGCCCCGCTCCCCGCTCCCTGGCCTCAGCCCCGGCCCGCCCCCGCTCCCTGGCCTCAGCCCCGGCCCGCCCCCCGCTCCCTGGCCTCAGCCCCGGCCCGCCCCCCGCTCCCTGGCCTCAGCCCCGCCCCTGCTCGCTGGCCTCAGCCACGCCCCGCCCCCCGCTCCCTGGCCTCAGCCCCGCCCCGCCCCCCGCTCGCTGGCCTCAGCCACGCCCCGCTCCCCGCTCCCTGGCCTCAGCCCCGGCCCGCCCCCGCTCCCTGGCCTCAGCCACGCCCCGCCCCCCGCTCCCTGGCCTCAGCCCCGGCCCGCCCCCCGCTCCCTGGCCTCAGCCCCGGCCCGCCCCCGCTCCCTGACCTCAGCCCCGGCCCGCCCCCGCTCCCTGGCCTCAGCCCCGGCCCGCCCCCCGCTCCCTGGCCTCAACCCCGCCCCCCGCTCCCTGGCCTCAGCCCCGCCCCTGCTCGCTGGCCTAAGCCACGCCCCGCTCCCCGCTCCCTGGCCTCAGCCCCGGCCCGCCCCCGCTCCCTGGCCTCAGCCCCGGCCCGCCCCCGCTCCCTGGCCGCAGCCCCGGCCCGCCCCCCGCTCCCTGGCCTCAGCCCCGGCCCGCCCCCCGCTCCCTGGCCTCAGCCCCGCCCCTGCTCGCTGGCCTCAGCCCCGCCCCGCCCCCCGCTCCCTGGCCTCAGCCCCGCCCCCGCTCCCTGGCCTCAGCCCCGCCCCCGCTCGCTGGCCTCAGCCCCGCCCCGACCCCCGCTCCCTGGCCTCAGCCCCGCCCCGACCCCCGCTCCCTGGCCTCAGCCCCGCCCCGACCCCCGCTCCCTGGCCTCAGCCCCGCCCCGACCCCGCTCCCTGGCCTCAGCCCCGCCCTGCCCCCCGCTCCCTGGCCTCAGCCCCGACCCGCCCCCCGCTCCCTGGCCTCAGCCCCGACCCGCCCCCCGCTCCCTGGCCTCAGCCCCGACCCGCCCCCGCTCCCTGGCCTCAGACACCCCCTGGGCTCAGCCCCAGCCCCGTGCCACGCCCCGACTCCGCCCCGGTTACCCCCGGTCACCGCCCCCGCTCTCCCGCGCCGCGTTTCCCGGACGCGTCCTGCTCCCGCCATGGCGCTGCTGGGTCGGGTTTCCTTTGCTCGAGGTCGCGGTCCTCAGCGGGTAAGGCGGCGCTGGAGGGGCCGGCTCGGATGCCCGCGAGCACCCTGCTTCTGCCGGCCTCCGGGGCGCGGGGCGTGTGGGGACGCGCCGGGGTTCTCAGGGTCGTCCCGTGGGCTGTCGTGTGCCGACTGGGACATAGGAGACCGTGTGCACGCGGTCCTGGGACGGCCGGAGGCAGGGCCGGGCGCGCTGGCCTTATCTGCGGCCCTTTTTTAATGAGGAAAACTGTTCTCGTGCTATCTGTGCGATTAAACATTAACACAAACACATGCACCTGAAACGAGAAAGAACAGCACCCCCCTGTCGGGACGCCCCACCTGGAGGTGGTGCTGGGCGGCGCCCCTCTGTGCCCCCCAGACCTCAGCGTCCAGACAGGTGCCCGGGTGGAGGGCTGCAGGCGCCGAGGGCAGCGGAGGCGCGGAACAGGGAAGGTGACAGTGCCCACGGTGGCCCCTGCCCCAACTAAATAAAATATATATCCTGACAGACGCAACCAAACCAAGAAGCACAGTTTCAGTAACCCGGTACAAAAATAACCTACCAACTGTGAGACCACTTTTGGTAGTTTAATAAAATAGATATTCTTTCTTGAAAAACGAGGACAAATTCCAAATAAGGTGAACACAAGGGCATTGTAGGTTGAGTCTTCCAAGTAACATTAGTAACAACTTTCTTTCCTTCTTTTTTTTTTTAATCCTCACCTGAGAATATTTTTCCAGTGATTTTTCTTTTTCAAATAGAGTGGGAGGGAGGGAGAGAGAAGAGACATATCCACTGGTTGCCTCCTGCTTGACCCCGACCAGCCCAAGGATCAAACTGCAAGAGATTCCTGCCCTTGACAGGAATAGAACTGTGACTCTATGGTCCTGAGCCAAATCAGCCAGGGCACACAACTTTTTTTTTCATCCTCACCCCAGGACATTTTCCCATTTTTTGTTCAGATAGAGTGGGAAGGAGGGAGAGGAAAAGAGAGAGAGAGAGAGAGAAACGTCGATGTGAAAGGGACACATTGAGTGGCTGCCTCCTGCAGGGCCCAACCAGGACCAGGGACAAACTGCAACCGAGGTTTGTGCCCTTAGCAGGATCTGAACCAGGTCTTTCTGGACCGCAGGCCGATGCTCTAACCGCTGACCCAAACCAGCCACGGCCACAACTTTCTTTTAAGATTAGTTTTGGTAATACTGTCTCCCTCTACCTGGGAAGATTTAGGTTACAGATCGGTTACCAGAGACTAATGATTTCTGGGTTTCTGATTCCTTCTCAGGCCTTTCTCTTTTAAATCCTACAACAGCCCTGGAGTAGAATAGTCTCCAACAGATATTTGGGATTGCATTAATAAGGCCATACAGACTGCTTCCCAGCTCTTCTGATGCCATTAGACAGTACAGGTTGAGAGGGGAAAAGTGGGCTTGTTTAAACATTAATTGTAATGTGACAATTCTGAAATTCCTTTGCTTAAGATAAATGTTGAGGATAGGGATTTGGAAGCAGAGGCCCTGTTTCGGTGGGTGGTGGGTCCCTGAGTTTGAATTCCTAGGAAAAGATTAGTCTACACATCTGGGAAGCTGGAACTTGTGAGCAGATACAGCTTGATACATTAAAAACCCTTCCTTTGATACTATTGTTACCAAGATCCAGAGAAATGCTACTTTTGTTACACATCCTATATAAGAAGTGCTATGTTAAATTGTGTGGTTAGCTATAAAACAAACATTTATTCAGAACTGGCTCTGTGCCTGGCCCTGGGGACAAAGATGAAAACAAATTAAATTAAAACCCTGCTCTAAAGTTTATTAAGGAAAACGTTCACTCATCTAGTTGTTTATCAGGAAATGCTAATTAAGTGCCTACTAAATATTGGACATTCTTTAGCATTCTTTGGTTGAAAAAGGTATCTACTGCCATTGAGCCCCATGTATTTTTTTTAAAGCTAGGGATGATATAACCTTGAGTGGACCTTAAAATCAATTTAGTGTAAAAGCAAAGTAAGTCTAAAAAATAAATTGGCATCAAATAGAAAATAATAGATTCCATTTCATGTGGTAAGATTAAGTTTACTTTATGAGACTTCTTTTTAACTTGCCATTCTTCCTTTTGTAGATTGACTTTTTGATATTTGTGATACACATGGCCAGGTGTTTTTTGTTTTTGTTTTTTTCTTCTCATCAACAGTAATAACTTTATTACATTTATTAAAATGATAGCTGGCCAATATGAATACAGTAATACAGTTAAATGAATTTTAAAATAAAACAAAATAAAGTAACACATGACCCCACACTGGCCACCCAGAAACAGTATGGTTAACTTTTTTTTTTTTTTTCTTTATTGACTTTAGAGAGAGAGGAAGGGAGAAGGAGAGACAGATAGAAACATCAATGAGAGAGAACGTGGATTGGCCACCTCCTGCATGCCCCCCAGTGGGGATTGGGCCCACAACCTGGACATGTGCCTGACCAGTAATTGAACTGGTGACCTCTCGGTGCATGGGTTGATGCTCAACCACTGAGCCACACTGGCCGGGCAGTATGGTTAACATTTGGTGACTGTCATTCCTGACATCCGTCTGTGCTGGTAAAAGAACAGGTGGATGGGCATAATTTGGTTTGGATATATCACATTTATTTTTCCTTCTAAACATTCATTGTCTTCTGATACTGACTGTTGTCAGGGAGAAGTGTAAGGCCAGCTGGATTTCCCCATCCCCCATTATTTGTGTTTTTCTTTTCTAACTGGAAAGTCTACAAAATCTTTATTTACCCAGTTAAAAATTCCAGAATATAAGCCCTGGCCGGTTTTGCTCAGTGGTTAGAGCATTGGCTTGTGGTCCACAGAGACCCAGGTTCGGTTCCCGCTAAGGGCATGTACCTCGGCTGCAGTTTGTCCCCGGCCCTGGTTGGGTCGATCTGGTCGCAGCCACTCGATGTGTCTCTTTCACGTTGTTGTTTCTCTCTCTTCCTCTCTTTCCCTCCCACTCTAGCTGAATAAAAATATGGAAAAATGTCCTCAGGTGAGGATAAAAAAAAAAAAATTCCAGAATATAAGCCTCCTGGAGGCAAGAATTTTCATCTGATCAAAATAAACCCATTTCAAGAACACGGTGCTGTCTCTAGCTAACATGACTAACAAAAAAGAGTCATGTTAGTTTAGGCTAATGTGACAATGATAAATAAGAGATGACATGAATGAAAGGCCAGCAGGAGTGAAAACTCCAGCTGAAAATTTCAATCTGCCTGCAAATTCATCACTTCGACTTCAACTCCCTGTGTTGTGTCGCACTCGTGAAGCATCTGTTGGGTCTACACCTAACTGCAGACAGATAACTAACAAAAAACAGGAAGTACACCCTGCAATACATAGCAACTACTTCTTCAAGGTCCCATGGTCATTGCTATAAGATGTGTCATTACTCAAAAGTGTAATCTCTGCCTTGCTACTGGCAACAGCTGCGTACTTCAGCCTGGCCACTGGAGACTGGAGTCCAGCTAACTTCCTTTTATATTTCCTCAGCTGGACCTTCCTGTTGCTCTGGCAATGAGGTCTGTGTTCTGCAGAAGCTTACAACATCAGTGCAGTGCCTGGGTCAAGGAGCCGGGTGGAGGAGCTCAGACCATCCTCACAGGCACAGAGCCTGAGCTTCACACGACCTGTAGCAAGCCATGGTGTGGGTAGTTTGAGTTCTTTAATTTTTGGAACATTTACAAACTGTTGGCATTAGTGGGTGGAACAGTCCCTCATTCTGTAAGACTGTCTTTTTCTGCAATGGAGCATCATTAGCGTCTCCTTTAGCTGTCTCTTGTATTTCCAGATGCCTCCAGCTGTGAACCATGTCCACTGTGCTGCCCTGGCAGTGGTCTGGGCATTGACAAGAATGCATGCATGGCACAGACGGTGCCTTCTAGCGACTGGACAGGATTAATCAGGAGATAGTTATTGGAGGCTTACTGTGTGCACAGACTGTATGTGTTGCTTCAGGGACACAAAGATGTTCATTTTTCAAAGTCATCCTTTGGAAAATAAAATTTTCTAGTCTTTACCAAGCTGACCCTTTTATATGACAGTTAAGGCCTGGTTTGCAAAACACTACGGGAATTTCAGTCAGGGTAAATTTGATCTGGAAAAAAGTATTCATTTTGATTTAAACCAACCGGTAGTTAGAAACTTAAAAAAAAAAAAATGGATATGGTAATATTCCTTTGTCTTATAAACATAGTTCACACTTAGTTGTGGGCTAGGGAGCACCTGTGCTCACACTTAGTTGTGGAATAGGGAGCACTTGCACTTCACATAGGACATTTGTCCTTAAGACCCTGATTCTATGCTAGTTTTCTTGCTATAGCATTGCTTCCTCTATGCCCTTCCTATATTGTATGCTTGCATATGCACTTTGATTTTATTAACTTTGAAATGAAAAATTTATGAACATATCGAACATTCAACCATCCAGAAGCAAGTAGTGACAATACTGTAATATCCTCACCCAAGAGGTTACTTCTCTGAATAATAGGTTCTTGTGGTCCCTCCAACAATTTCTCTGTGTATCAACATATATATGAAGATATCCTCACTTAAGAAAAAACCAAAAAACCACCTAAACGGATCGTTTTTCTTAACACAATTTCCTCAGCAAATACTTGTTGAGTGATTGAATAAATAATATAAATATAGCAATGTTTCCATTAAGCATGTGAGTTCTAGCTTTTAATAGATGCACAGTATTTTGTCATATGCCTGGGCCCTGGTTGATTGGTTATATCCCCTATGGAAATTCAGATTTGGTTCCTAGTCTTTGCTGTTACAAACAATGCTTTAATGAATATGTTGTGCTGCTTTGTGTCCTTCGTATTTCTGAGTTCTTAAAAAATAATAATGAGCCCTGGCTAGTTTGGCTCAGCGGTTAGAGCGTCGGCCTGCGGTGCTGAGAGACCCAGGTTCAGTTCCCACTAAGGGCATGTACCTCGGTTGCAGTTTGTCCCCGGCCCTGGTTGGGTTGTGCAGGT